TAAAACAATTATATGATTATAACAAATTGAAAATATCACATCTATACAATGCGTTTTTAATTGACTTATTTTTATAAACCCAAGTTTTTGTAACACTCAAGTTTTCTTTAATGTTTTCAAGGAAGAAACCGTCCTTAGCTTTGACGCTTTTCCATCTCCCATGTTTTTTAAACAACCTGTCTGAAATATTGTTCATTGCGCTAACTGTCGCACCACCTCTTCTCAAACTAAGTGTTCCATAATCATCCGCTTTAAGAACCAGAGAATTTAATAATTCCCTAAACATTTAAGGACTGACGACTAGTATTTCTAAATACGTAATCGTTACGTTTTTTACAAAAGGAAAGTTGACGGAAGAGATAAAAATCGTCGTAAACTGAAATATTGCCCTTTTTGAAAAATATTTGCAAAATGTTTGAGGGACAAGTAAAATTGTCAGTTTTCAAAATTTTGATTATTTCCCCTTTGTTAGACTGAATCTGTTTGATCTTGATCGTACTTTCACTTCAAAAATAGTTTGCATGGAAAGTAATGTCACAACCACCTTTAAGCTATATAGTTCGGAAAACTCTCAAAAACCCTGCCGTCATAATGTGCAAAACCTATGTTTTACAAAAACTAGCGATCTTAGATGATACAAATTTGCGTTCGAGGATTTGGAGGATGCTTTCAAAGATCATATCTTACTATAATAACAGAATCTTATAGGGTTTTTTTTTTTTATTTTCGATAGGCTGACCGCATATTTTCATGGCAGAATCTAACATAAAAAATGACTATTTTAAAACTACATGGGTTCTTGACTTCCGAAATGTCATGTACCCATTTTAAACTGTAATGCAATATTTACCAAAAACAACGAAAGAAATGAAATCGAATGGTAACTTCTATTACTAGGATATGATTATGTGGCATCTAGCTTTATCGCAAAAGTAGACCCTCTAAAATTAAGTGATCCAAGTAAAGATTTTTTGTTTTCGCCAAGGACGATACTAGAATTGCTAAATTCCAGAACATCTTTAACATAAGACTTCCAACTCAAATCTTCATCTTTAAAGACTAAAGGCCAGAAAGCAGCGGATTGCCATCTAGGAACAGCTAGCACACCTAACGAACGACAACTTATGAGATGCAAAATCGCTTACACAAGCTAATTTAACGGGGGGAACCAACCAATTATTTTCACCGGACCAGTCTGCCGAAAACGTATTGACTGCCTCACAGTCTGGGTTCCAGAATTTAGAGTTGAAACGCATACTCTTCCTATTGTTGTAATTTGCAAATCTTTCTATTATGAACGGATCCCAGTTTGAATTGAGAAAAGTAAAAAATGCATCAGATACAACCCAGTCGTCAACATGTAATATTCTAGAATAGAAATCGGCGACTACATTATCCTTACGTGGAATCCACGATACTGTACTGCAACACAAAAATAATGGAATATTGAAAGTGCAAGAGACTGTAACTCTTTCTTTGAACTTCCTGACTGAACAATGATTTCACAGGTTTTGCTGTCCTTGTACCACTGTGCGTGTTAATTAACAAAAAACTTTGACAACGACATAAGTCCCCATTCAATGCATTTTCATTCCCTCCGAGTCGAACTTTTTGTTTTTTCTTGGTCAGACCATTGTTTGTGTGCAATGCATTCTTGCGAGTTAACTTTCTGGGGGGAAAGAAAAAACCAAAATCACTTAAACGTAGGAAAAACCTGGTGACAGAAACTTTTTTGTTGGGAAAAAAATTAGATAATTAAATTTGGGCCAAAATTTGGGGGACCCCAAAAATCTAATTCCCGGGAATTAACACGGGCCCCTTTGTGAAATAAAAGAATACTGAATCCCCGCTAAGACTTTCATTTATTTTTTTGTTAGAAACCTAGTATTAAGCGTGTTTTGATCACCTAAAACAAAAATGCAGGGAGGAAAACACCACCAGCAATTTGGTTTTGAGGGGAAGGGAAAGTTAAATCCTTTTTTGGGCTTATTTTTTAATTTGTAATTTTCCCGTTTTAGGATTATTTACCCCCCTTTGTTTTTTTTTTAAATAACCAGTTGAGGGTTGGGAAAAATAGGGACTAAACCCTCTCAAAGTTTTAAAGGGGATCCAGAATTTACTTTTTTACATCATTCGGTAAAAACCCCGATTTGCGTAAAGAAACTGGTATAAAATTTGAATTTGTAACCGCTTTTTTGTAAGAGGAATTAATTGACCAACTGTCGTCTAAATAATCATTAATTTTAATTCCATGTGTTCTCCAGTGCGCAAAACTTTTGTGAAAATAAAACCCGCTGAACACAAACCAAAGGGTAAGACGGTAGAAACAAAATATTTCGTTTTGTTTTTGTCTTTAACTGAGAAACCCAAAAAAGTTTGTTGCTTTGCCGATATATCTATATGATGGTAACCGGACTTTAAATCGAATTTAAACATAAATCCTCCTTTTTTATATAATCTAGTGCCAGAGTAACATCCTTGAAACGCATTTTTTCTTTCCAAACATATTGATTTATATGTCGTAAGTCTTATATGAGCTGCTTTCTGCCTAAACCGAAAGAGGGTTTTGAAAGAAACCACTAAAGTTCTGCCGGATTCTAGTAATTCTGAAATTGAATCTAAAACAAAAGGCATGTTATCAAAGGCTGATCTGTTATTTTAAAAAAAAAAAAATAGATTTTAGCGTATGAGTAAAAGGGAGTAATGTATCCCGTTTTGAATTACCTCTTTAATTATTAACTGTTAGCCCCAATTTTCTTCCCAAAATTTTATATTCTGTTTAAATCTGCCTTTTACCGACGTTTTATCTAAAGATTTATTTTCTTGAATTTAAAAATAGTCTCTGTGTTTATTATATGTCACAAAAAAAGAATGAAAGTTAGAATACTTAATTCTGATTTCATTAACTTCTTTGGAAGGCCAAGAGCTATTTATATGGCATTGGTGAAGTTTGTTTAAAAAAAAAGATCAGGAAACGAATTATCAGCTTTACTAATTTAAATATAGAGAGCGGACGGGTTGATTACAGGTATCGAGGGGTTTCCTTATTGTATATGTATTTTATCATTGGCAAATTTCATTTTCTACCTAAATTCTATTGATTCGACAATTACATTTATATGGAACGATTTATCTAAAAATAACTTTTAGAATCTTAAGAAAAGCTGAAAGCTTAATATAAGTATGTTTGTTTTAATGAACTGAAGCTAGCATATTATAATATGCTTGTTACTGTTTCTTAAAATTTTACCATTCTGGTTTGAATGCAGTCCATTTTCATTCAAAAAGTTATTCTTATATTCCTAAAATATACTTTTAGAGTTAAGATCAAATGGAAAGAATCTTGTTTAGTGGACCCTGGTAGTACCTTTGTTATGCATTTTTCCTGTTACAATGAGTTATTTTTGCTGTAGTTTTAAAAATAAATATGTAAGTCAAACGTGTATGGGGCTGTGGTGTCAGTAGCACCCAGTTCACAAGCATGCTGATATTATTTGAGCCGTGTCACGACAAAACCAACATAATGGATTTGCGACCAGCATGGATCCAGACCAGCCTGCGCATCCGCGCAGTCTGATCAGGATCCATGCTGTTCGCTTACCAAACCTATTACAAGTAGAGAAACTTCTTGCGAACAGCATGGATCCTGATCAGATTGCGCGGATGCGCAGGCTGGTCTGGATCCATGCTGGTCGCAAACGCATTACGTTGGTTTTGTCATGGCGCGGCTCATTTTATTTTGGCTAAAATAGCAAATTTAAGTAGTTTTTATCCTATGGATTTTGCATATTTAACATGAGGATACTTGAAACATAGCTTTCAGAGTGTTGGCCGTGTTTCTCATGTGCACCTGGAATTCCTTTAGACAGCTGTACCAGTATCGGTTTCATTTAATCACTGCAACACATACAAAAATAAAATTAAATTTATTTTGTGTTTCTTTCTTTAAGGCCTCCCCAAAATTCACAGGAAAGACAAAGTCAGCAACAAACTCACGTGATAAGATCTGTGTAGTGAGATAATGTACATGTGACATATGTGTTAATTATGTAACACACTGATGCTCATTTTGTAGTGACATTGTACAGTGAAATATGTGTTAACTGAATAACACCAACTTGACAATGATGGACCTCTCAAGTGACAATACAATGATTTAAAAAAGTATTAATGGACATGATATATGTATTAATATTCAAAATGCTGATTTTATCTTCTGAAATACATGTAATGTCTTAACCCATTACTTCATGAGCTTTTTGTGAAAAAATGGCTGTTTTCATTGAAAAGTCTCCCGTTACAATTCAAATTGCTTTAAAACTATCAAAACTGCTTCAATACTAATCAAACTTGGCACAAATGTCTGGCGTTCGTTTCACATAGGCCTTTTTATAATAATAATAATAATAAACACTTTATTTCATGAAGGCAACATATTAAGAAATACATATCTTATTTACAATATGGCCTTCAATTAAACAAGATAATCAAATTCACAAATATGTACACACATATCAAAAACATAAACAACAACCATTCAAATTGACAGACACATGCATACATCAGATTCATTTTAAAAATTGTATATCAAGTAAATATTTTTCCATATTTCTTTTAAAAGCATATAGAGACGAAGACTCTTTAATATATAAAGTTAAATTATTCCATACTTGCATTGCATTATTTCTAAAAGTTCTTTTAACATATTTTGTATTAGATCTTACATATATTATGTTTCTATTTGTAGTTGATCTAAGTGTATACTTTTCATTTTTCGAGAACACTATGCAATCTGAAATGTAGGAAGGAGTCAACCCTTGTATAGATTGTTCAAAATCTTATCCCAAATCTTCTTAAGCTAAAACAAAACGAAAAAGTAAAAGTGTGTGAAACGAAGACATATATACCTCTACGACACTCTATACCATGTTAGTTTTTTTTTTTTTTTTATCTTTTTGGGTGTTAGCACCTTTTCGTTATTCAATATTCTTTCGGTTAATGTGACGTCATTTCCGTATTCCGTTCGGAATAACCGAAGTTTTTAACCGTTGAAAGTAGATTTAGAAAATTTTCTATGGAATGTACAGATGAATGCGTTAATTTCATGACGTTATGACAAAATCTAAAGGTATTTTTTCTTAACTTCTCAAGCTGCGAAGCGAAATTTTAATGTCGAAACCACTGGTTTAGAGCGTTCAACGGCGTTCTGTACATGTTTTCAACAGCAACCGGAAGTAGATTATTGTGTACAATAATTGCTATGGCTTCATTTTAAAGAAATGATTTTTTCCACACCTTAATTGCTTGAAAGTATTTTCAGAAAGATTATAAGATATATTTTAACGAGTAAGAGAGGCGTATTGACACTCATATTTCTATCCTCCATGATAATATGCCCAATTTTGGCATTCGTTGAGTGAGCACGGACATGTTGAGGGGGGGGGGGGGGAGGGGGGGTCATACCTACAAGTATACTGGGTTTTTTAAACTTTTCCCATGATATCATGGGTTCTATGATATACAGATTTACATTTTCTGTTGGGGTTTCCAGATAAAAACAACATGGGTGATTTCCCTTAAAAAATTTTTCAATTTTCCCGGAAAATTTCCCCCGGGCCTATTTTTTCCTTCCTTTTTTAAACCCTTTTTCTATCTTCCCTATATTTAAAACCCCCGCTTGGGGGGCCTAGACTTGACGGCGGGGCAATTTACCCAAGGGTGTTAGTTAAAAAAACTGGGAAAAAAAGAAAATAAAAGGGGAAAGGGGAACCCCATTTTAAAACCATTAAGATTTGTTTACAAATTTTAAACGGATCATGTTAAAACGCTTGGGTTAAAAAAGGTTTGTTTCACTTTCGCTACATTAGTCCAAAAAATGCTAGCCAATAGGGGAAAATTGGGGGATGTGAGGAAAACCGGGGTTTAGCTCGGCCCTAAAAAGTTTCTCGGCCCCCCCAGCCCAGGGTCGGGCCCTTTTCCCAAATCGGCATGGGTCAAAACCCGGGCCCTTTCTTTTTTTTTAAATTTTTTTAATTTTTTATTTGGTTGGGTTTTTCCCAAAAAATTTTTTTGTTTTTTTATTTGTAATTATTTATAAAAAAGGATTGGGCAGTTTTTAGAACTTGCAGCACATAAAATGTGAAATTTTTTTTTTTGATGCTTTAAGTTTTTGGGGATTTTCTTCAAAAAAGAGGGGAGATTTTAGAATTTTCAAAAAACAAAGAAGGGAAAAATTTACATCAAAAAAAGGGAGATTTCCTTTTTTTTGTTTAAAATTCCCCCTTTTTTAAGGAAAAAAAATTTTTTAAAAAATTTTTACTGCAAAAAAGAGGGAGTCTCCCCTTAAAGGGGGGGAGAGTTCACAAGTATGGCCCGCAGGGCAGGCTTTTTTTTTATCAGTTTGGGAATTTCGAAATAAAGATTTTAACCCAATTTGGGGTATCTCACTTTTTTTTCTGACTTGTGGTAGGTTTAAACGTAAATTTTAAACCCCTTTAGTGTAAAAAAAGGGGTTTAAAATAATTTCTAGAGGAAGCTAAAATCACCAGCTTTTAATTATTTTTGGGAAAAAAAAATGATTTTAAAAACGGCCCAAATTTTTCATTCTTTTATAAAGTTTTTAATTTTTGTAAAGTGGGCCGAGTTGACCCTGGGCCCGTTGGTTTTAGGGGTTACTCTTTTCCCGGGTGGGGAGCCGGGCCTACACATTAGGGATTAACAAAAATCATGATTTTTTTTTTGGCCTGGGGAAAAAATTTGGGGGAAAAATTTTTTGTGTATGAATTTAAACTTGTTTTTACCTTTTCATTGGCAAAACATTGCCCCCAAAAAAGGACAAAAAAGGGATAAAAAAAAAAATTATGGATATCTTTACGAAATGTAACAAAAAAAAAAAAAAAAAAAAAAAAAAAAAAAAGTCAAAAAAAAAAAAAAAAAAAAAAAAAAAAAAAAAAAAAAAAAAAAAAAAAAAAAAAAAAAAAAAAAAAAAAAAAAAAAAAAAAAAAAAAAAAAAAAAAAAAAAAAAAAACAAAGAAAAAAAAAAAAAAAAAAACAAAAAAAAAAAAAAAAAAAAAAAAAAAAAAAAAAAAAAAAAAAAAAAAAAAAAAAAAAAAAAAAAAAAAAAAAAAAAAAAAAAAAAAAAAAAAAAAAAAAAAAAAAAAAAAAAAAAAAAAAAAAAAAAAAAAAAAAAAAAAAAAAAAAAAAAAAAAAAAAAAAAAAAAAAAAAAAAAAAAAAAAAAAAAAAAAAAAAAAAAAAAAAAAAAAAAATAACTTTAACAAAAAAAAAAAAAAAAAAAAAAAAAAAAAAAAAAAAAAAAAAAAAAAAAACAAAAAAAAAAAAAAAAAAAAAAAAAAAAAAAAAAAAAAAAAAAAAAAAAAAAAAAAAAAAAAAAAAAAAAAAAAAAAAAAAAAAAAAAAAAAAAAAAAAAAAAAAAAAAAAAAAAAAAAAAAAAAAAAAAAAAAAAAAAAAAAAAAAAAAAAAAAAAAAAAAAAAAAAAAAAAAAAAAAAAAAAAAAAAAAAAAAAAAAAAAAAAAAAAAAAAAAAAAAAAAAAAAAAAAAAAAAAAAAAAAAAAAAAAAAAAAAACAAAAAAAAAAAAAAAAAAAAAAAAAAAAAAAAAAAATGTTTGCCACATACCAACCATCATGTTATAATGTAAAACCATGCATTCCGTAAATTTACATTTTTCAATAAAATTTGAAAAATATAATAGAAATATATGTTTTAATTAGTAAAACATACGGATTATTTAATATTAACACTATTTCATTAAAAAAATAAAGTCTCCGTGTACAGTATACCGGGATTATATATAGAGAGACAGTGTTAGCGATTTTCCCTAACTTTACTGAGTACCTGGGACTCAGTGCTAATAGATCTGTTACGTCCCAATTCAAATGGAACGAGTCCTCAATTACAAAAATGTCAATGTTTGCATAACTTCATAATACAATCAAATTTGTGACTGTTGATGTTCGCGGATACCATTGATAGGTTGGCCCAAAACGAGGCCGAGCACTTGCTCCTAGTCTACGTTTGGGATATAAATCTGCATTGCTAATGAGAAAGGAACAAATGAAAATGAGGTGAAAGTCAAGTTCTTATAATACAATTTATTTAAAGTGAATAGAAAATCATTTTCAAGCAGAGCAAAAAAACTTAAGAGAGAATTGACCAATTATCGGGGAAAAAAGTGTTTCATCCCAGGGACTCAACAGCCCTTTTTTTCTTTCCTCCCTGGCAATTTTAGAGAGTAAATTGATATGTTTACTCAGTAAACGCGAACACTGGAGAGAGAAACTTTTTTTATTTTTAACTTTGTTGTTTTCTTAAAAATATCATTTATTTCATAAATTAACATTTTTGAATAAAAATTGAAATATATATATATATTAATATATAAGCTATAATTGGTCGTATATACAGAATGATGACTATTTTAGGGGAAAAAGAAAAGTCCCTGGGAACTATTCTTTCAATAGGAAATGCTGTTCATAAATGATCCCCGGGGACTATACCGGGATTATATATAGGGAGGGACATATTTCATTTTAAAGTTTATGTCACATGCTACCGAAGGGAAGTATTCCCGGGAAGAGGGTTTTCTTCGGGGGCTACAAAACCATTTTTGAAGTTTAAATGCTAAAGAAAAAAACTCTGGCATGAGTTTGATCCCTGGGAGATGCTTTGGTAGTTTAGCGTGGAGGAAGGTAGTCTAGTACTGGTGTAACTCTCCAGGAACGATGGTTAGGAAACTTCCCGCCTATATGACTGAAATACTGTTGGGAAAAGGTTTAAAATGAAACAAACAAACAAACAAAGAAAAAAAAACAAGAAAAATAAAACGCTTAGGTGATCAACAACACATCTGCCTGCACAGTTTTTTCTGTTATTAGAGTGAGTTATAATTGTAATCAAAACAATGCTTGTTTTAAAGTAATATCTCCACTTTTTATATGCCCGTTTGAAAAACGGGACGTATTATGGGAACGCCCCTGGCGGGCGGGCGGCGTCCAATTTTGTCCGGAGCATATCTCCTACATGTATGGAGGGATTTTAATGAAACTTCATATAAATGTTCACCACTATGAGGAGCAGTGTCGCGCACATGAACCAGGTCTCTAGGTCAAAGGTCAAGGTCACACTTAGAGCTCATTGAAAAATGCTTGTCCGGAGCAAAACTTCCACATGTATAGAGGGATTTCAATATTACTTGGCACAAATGTTCTCCATTGTGAGGCGGAGTGTCGCGCGCAAGATTCAGGTCCTTGCGGTCAAGGTCACACATAGAGGTCAAAGTTCAGATAAAAATATGAAGATGTGTATATGGACCATTTATTCATCATTTATTGAGGGATTGTAACACAAATGGTCATTATCAAGACTATGGCTGTGATACATATAATTTAGGTCAATATATACTAGGTCAAGGTCACTAAAGATGATGAAATATCCAGATTTTGTCCGGAGCATAATTATCTCCTACACGCATGGAGGGATTTTAATGAAATTTCATAGAAATGTTCACCATTATGAGAAGCCATGTCACGCACATGAACTAGGTCTCTAGGTCAAAGGTCAAGGTCACACTTAGAGCTCATTGAAAAACGCTTGTCCGGAGCAAAACTTCTACATTCATAGGGGGATTTCAATATAACTTGGCACAAATGTTCACCATTGTGAGGCTGAGTGTCGCACACAAAATTCAGATCCCTGCGACCAAAGTCAAGGTTACACATAGAGGTCAAAGTTCAGATAAAAAATTTGAAGATGTGTATAGGGACCATTTAGTCATCTTTATTGATGGATTGTAGCACAAATGGTAACTATCATGACTACAGGTGTGACACATTTAATTTAGGTTAATATTTGCAAGGTCAAGGTCACTGGAGATGATTAAATATCCAGATGTTGTCCGGAGCATATTTTCTACATGCATGGAGGAATTTTAATGTTACTTTATAGAATTGTTCACCACCATGAGACGTAGTGCCCTGCACATGAACCAAGTTTCTAGGTCAAAGGTGAAGGTCACAGTTAGAGCTCATAGAAAAACGCTTGTCTGGAGCAAAACTTCTACATGCATAGAGGGATTTCAATATAATTTGGCACAAATGTTCATCATTGTCAGGCTGAGTGCCGTGCATAAAATTCAGGTCCCTGCGACCAAGGTCAAGGTCACACATCCTGTGCATATCTTCCCTACTGATTTGTTTTAAGGTTCATTTAACAACACAGTGCCAAGAATAAAAACTTGCTTGCTAGATAACACTTATCCATAATGCCCCCATCTCCATCTAAAGCTTTCGTAAACGGGCGTATTTTGTGACTATGGCACCCTTGTTCAGATATAGTGTCTACAGGGCTTTTTTTCACAGGTTGGGGAAGCAGCCCTGCCCTTAATTTTGGGAAAGCAGCCCTATTCTGGCCCCTGCTATAGAAGGGAAAAAAAGCACTAGTCTACACACATAGTTTCATGTTTATTCTTAGTCTTCACACTCACTTGTTTGCACCTGCAAATGAGTCCTTCATTTTCAATGTGCAAGATTTTGCTCAGTGCTGAGAACACACTTCATATTTCAAAACTGAAAATAGCAAAATAAAATGCTCAACATTTTGGCAGCAAGCAGATCTTACCTTTACAGGCACCTACAAAAACAGTGTGTGCCAAATCCATAAGAGGTTTCTGTAACTTATTTTGAAATTGTTTGGAATTGTTGACCAATGTAAACTTAAGTTCAAAATTTTTGTTGCATAGTGTATTCTAATGACTCATGCAACAAAAAATTAAAATGGATTTGCCCTGCAATTAAGTTCTTTAAATTGTAAGTTTAGGTTTTTCAGTACCATAACAATGAGAGTCTTAGGAAAAATTATAAAATGGATTTGCCCTGCAATTAAGTTATTTTAATTGTAAGTTTAGGTTTTTCAGTACCATAACAATGAGAGTCTTAGGAAAAATCATAAAATGGATTTGCCCTGCAATTAAGTTATTTTAATTGTAAGTTTAGGTGTTTCATTACCATAACAGTGAGAGTCTTAGGAAAAATATGCATGTCCAGGCAATGCTCTTTATACTAGTGGTATATTTTTTTGCAATACTGCATCAGTCAGCATACAGAAGGGTTTATAAATCGATAAATTTTTATCAATGAAATTAATGGACTTTGGCCCCTGAAACCTCTTTCTGTTTGTCATTCTATTTTGTTCTTATATTTGAACTTGATGGTATGTTATAATCATTGAATAAAATGTCTTTTGGCTGGTAAATGATTGAACATTTTCTGGCAACTTTTCAAAATATAAAACCCACCTAGACTGGGTCAATTTAATGGTTTGTCCTACATAACTTTTTATTTTTTGTAACCGGTACATTTGAAAAGTTTACATATTATTAAGAAAATGTTTATGTTTGTACTTAGTATTTGCATTTTAATGAGTGTTTTTTTTGAAAAATAAAGTTTTTATTTATTTATACAGGATTTTGCTGACTAATATCTTTTATGGAAATTAAATGTTCAATTATTAAATCAAGGTGAAGGTCACAGGTATTATGATATTCTACTGTTTAATGAACCAGCTGGTAAACTTTTCAATAACAGGAAATTCTATATGATTTATATATTTCAAAAAGATTAATTTTTATACTTTTCTTATACTGTCATTATCACTGGATATATTTTGGACTACATTTCTTTGCTTTTTCATGCAATTCAGAATTGAATATTGAACGAAATTAAAAAAGATATTTGATAACATTTATAGGTTACAGGTACATTTTAAACATTGTATTGAATTGAACTATGAGCAATATTAACATTGTTTGTGTTCAGTGAATAACATGATGAAATGTCTAAAATCAATATAAGTACATTAATATATTACAACTTTGTATTTGTTACATTTTGTGAATGACCATACTGCACAACACTAATATTGTACTGTGAGGCAGGGCTTTTTACCACAGATAGAGGAAGGGGCCCTACCCTTAAATTTGGGGGAAATATTATACATGTATATGGTATGTTTGCAAAAGGGAAAAAAACTTGATGTAAAATTTAATTTTAGGGGAAAACTGCATGTTTTAAAAGTATTTTGCAAAAGGGGAAAGGCCTATTAATGGCCCCTGCTATAGAAGAAAAAAAATAACAAAAAAAAAACAGGTTATCAATGATTGTAAGATACAGTTTATTTATTGTGCATTTATTGGTATTAAGGCTCCCACGTTTACAATTTTTTGTAAACGTTTACACGACTGCAATTAAGAACCGAAACGATACCGTTTAAATGGTGGTACCTCTATGTACTATACACACCATGTATTTGAGTCGCCAAATGATGTCCTCCTTTCTATTTTTATGTACAAATAAAGAATGTGCAAGGCTCATCACGATTGAGTCAGCACACATTTTTTGCATTGTAACCCCATTTTTTACCAAAAATGTATTATGTCAAGAGCAATTTTGCACGGAAATGCTGTGTGGAGGGTTGTAAACACCCATTTTCCGTTTGTTTACTTTGGAATAAACCACTAGAATTGATAGAATCCATGATTACAGGCAATGATTAAGAAATTTTATAAGACAATATTGTCATTTCGATTAAACGGTTAACAATATCGTAAACGTTTATGAATGAAAATCGAAACGAATCCGTTTAAACGTGTAATCGTGGGGGCCTTAATTGGTATGCATTATTTTTCTTCTTCAGGAAACAAAATGGCTCAGTCCAATAACAACAATAATGACCTGAGTCTGTCTACATCACCTGATGGACTACCTGTGTCAGGACAAGATATGCTACCATCAGGACTCAAACCTAAACTGGACCTTATCTTCTCTGAAGTGGAGAAGAAACTACCAGATATAGACTTTGACTTGTCAGATGTAAGTTACTTATCTCTTGTATATCAGACAGATTTATCTACTGTTTACATCGTTGCTAGAAAAAACCTATCTTACACCCCCTATGTAAAACAAGTTGTTTTCTTTAACTGGTGTCATTCACACATGAGCCTTTTATGAATGAATTGTATTCCTAGGATGATAAATTTTGCCATCATGAAGTTGTTAATTCATATGCTACTATAAGAAACTATAAGAAACAAGTGCTCAATGAAAATATTGAGCTACAGTTTCCAGAATATGATTAATATGTAATATGCAAGGAAAAGAAACAAACACCTGCTGTTGTTATAGATGGTTATATCTAACTCTTGTGTAACTGTTTAGCGGAAACTAATGGTAAAGCTTCGTTTACTGTCATAAACAGTCTCCCTCACTTAGCTAGATATTTCAGTCTGTACCGGCAGCTGGTGTAAGGTTCTTACATTTTTGCTTTTGATGACTTTAACTGATCTGACTCAGTGACTCAATTGTTGTTCTTTTTTTAAACATTTTATGAGGAAGGGGACTGATCAGCTGATGATGTTTTTTTTTTGTTCTTTGTTTTTTTTTTTTGGTAGGGAAAATCTTGGCATATTAAGGGGATAAAGAAAAGTACTACTTTGATGGTTGTATTGCCATTTCAAATGAAAATAACCTGAAGTTTTAACATCATATTGTGTGCTTCAAATGTTTTTTTTAAAGAATAGTTAGTTTTTTTTTGTTTTTTTTTTTTTAAAGTAAAGTTAATTCATTATTTGTCAGTGAATAACATTGTAACTTTAAGTGACTGTATACTGAAGTTTCACCACAATACTTTTGTTTCTATCAAATAGTAATTCAAAATTTTGTCTTTAACAACAACATACAGTACTTGTATATATATTTACTCAATCTATGAATGACTCAACCCTTTACTCAGTCCGTTGCTTTTCTCAAAGAAGTTTAAGAAATACATAATACAACTTATTCTTTATGGTCAATCTTTGGTACAAATTATGTATGGAAAAACAAAAGTAAAACATCCTGTTGTTTAAGAAATAATATATCCCAAACTGTGATTTTATCGCTCAATAACAAAACTGTTTTGAGTTCGGATGCGAGGAATTATATCACGAGGGCGTAGCCCGAGTGATATAATGATGCGCATCCGAACGACAAACAGTGAAGTTATCCAGCGATAAAATCACCGATTTGGATATATTATTTCGATTCTAACACGACATCAACAAATAAACGTTGTCGTACCTGATATTAAGCAAAATTCCGCCTAATTTGTTTCCGTACTTATTGTCAGCGCGTCGGATTTTGTAGAGGTTACGTCACATGTATTATGATTACGTCACATGTCTAAATATAGAACGTCAAACAGTGATTTTTTAGCATAATAATACACACTTTTGGTTCTTCTATGTTCAATAGGGAAAAATGCGGGCCGTGTTAGAATTATTAACAATAAATGTTACATATATTGTTTAGGTTGATTCTGATAGTGAGGAACCACTGATATTTCACCAACATTTGAAATCACTTGAGGAAGATAAAGATTTGGACACCAGTCAGGGTAGTGATACTCTAGCTGATATTGCTTCATTCAATGATAATAAAGGTAGGTTTAAAGCTTCAACCTGCTGAAACAGAAAGTGGGTAGCCTTTTCTACGAGTATAGTGCAAGACCAGTGTGTGTTTGGGTTTGTTTACCCTTGCCATTGGAAACTGAAAGAGACCATATTGGCTAGCAAAGGCCAGCCTGTACACCAATGCAGTCTATACTGTTCGCAGACTCACTACTGATTCCAACTTTTCATATTGATATCAATGTGATTTAAAACAGACATTTCCAGACATGGAAGCTGAACAATTCCATTTAAGAAATTCCACAGATTAAGAGTTCAGAATTTTTATAGATTGTCATGTATAAATATCTGTAATGCAATTGAATTTTTTTATAGTTTTAAGAATTGAAGGTTACATGACCTGACACTTCGAACACAACTATGGATATTTCTGATTTCCAAATGTTTTGCCGTATAATGAAGTATATTATTGTTTATAAAGTCTTATGAATATGCAAGTGTATCTCTCTTAAACAATAATGAACTATTACAACTTTTTAAAATGTTTTTAATTTATTATTTTGATAGCTAAAGTGACAAGCGGAAGCCCTGTGACATTCTTTGATAATGACATCGCCTATGAGTTTCAACGTACCGGTATTAACATAGCTCCGCCCCCTGTTTCATCCTGGGCAGACATTCCTCTGCCAGCAGAAAAAGACAAAAACAAAAAGGAGAAAGAGGTCTCATCCTGGGGTGAAATTCCTGTAAAAAAATCAGTGTCTTGGAATGATATGCCTAAATCTGACAATGATATGCCTAGAACAGATAATGATATTTCTAGAGCAGATAACGATATGCCTAGACTGGAGAGTGACATTGACAATAGATATGCAACAGAAATCCATGGACAGTTAAGCTTGAATAGTTTAGATGATAAATTGATTCAGAAGAAACTGCATAGAGAGGCAACAAGAAATAAAGAGAAAGACATAGCCACAAATCTGTTATCACCTAGAGCACCAGTTTTATCAACACAACAATTAGACAACATTGATCTTGGTATGTTTTATTAAATAAGTAATGCCATCTGTTTACATAAACTAGAATATATTTATACGAAGATTTCATTTGACATTTTATTGAAAAATAAATATGAATCCATAAATTTTGCTGAGTACAGTGTACTACATATTTTCATCACTAAAATTTTCAGTAAATCATAGATAATTTAAAGACATACTCATCAAGTTATTACAAAGCCAGAAATATGATAGATCAGTTTAGATAGTAAGAGCAGTAAATGTATAGACCACTGTTACACAAGTTCAAGTTTTGCTAAGGCAGAATGTTGTACCATGAAAATATTGTTTGATGTTATTTACCTTGAACCTCAAATTTTTAGAAAGAAAATTAAAATTTAAAAGTATTAAGCACGGGAAAAGGGAAAAGTTTAAATGTGGGCCCAAATTCATTATGTTACTTTTTTACAGGTAAAAAGTTTTAATAAACTTGGGGTTAAAAAACCCAATTTAAAAAAGGGAAACTGTAATACATTTTAAATTAGTTATACAACAATGCTAATCACGGGTTTTTATTATTTTTTTTTTTCATTTTTTTTGTTGTGTGTTTCAGATTTTTTTAGGGGATTTTTAAACACAAAAATCAGAGGGCACCACCTTTCCCAAAGTCGGGCCCTGGTCCGATATTTTTAACCCAGTTCACGTCGGATAGGTAAAGGGAGGCGATCGCTGCGGGTTTGATTTTTAAAAAAAAAATTATGTTAAAAGGGTTTTTCCCATTTCAGAAAAATTTATATCATGGGGGAATGAGGGGTTTCTTTGAAATTGGGGGTGATATTTTTAAAATATATCCGAGATTTATACTTTAATACAAAAAAATTTACATTGTTTATGTATGTGAAAAGTTGAAATGCAAAATAATAACATAAAAAAAATTAATTACATCATTTGATAATAGGAAACCTTTTCGCAAAAGATTTTTGTGTTTCAAGTTATCTTTTTTTGTTGTTTTTTTTGCATGCATTTCATTTTAACCACGGGATTAAAAAAGATTTTTTTTAACTTTTATTGTTGAAAATGAGCAATTTCTACTTTTTGAATTTTTTTTGTGGGAAAAAAATAATAAATTTTATTTTTTTTATGCATAAATATTTTATTTGAAAAAATCTTTTTTGTCTTTTTAGAACCCACTCAGGATGACTTTTGATCAAAAAACTGGCTCAGATGTTCAATGACCCCAATACGGTAAAAGGTCTATCAAATTTAACCCTCCACTGGTGTACCAGGGGGGAAAGGAAAAAACAAAATAAAAAAAGGTTCCCAGGTAGATAAAAAGAGGGAGTGGGAAATAGAGGGTTGAAAATTGAGTCAGGGTTATGTCGGGAGGCAGGGAAAAGTATGAGAAAAAAACCCCGGTTGAAAAGGGGGAGAGAAATTCAGCCGTAAAAAAGGGAAGGGTTTTAATATTTTTATTTAGAAGAATATATGTTTAATCTTTTACTTACTTATTTAAAAAAAAAAAAGAAAAAATTTTTATGCCAATTTCCCTTTGGTTCATTGGGGATAAGGGGTTTAAAAAACCAAAATTTTAATGTTATGTTTAGGAAAAGGGGTAAAAAATTATTTGACAGATAACTTTTTTAGTTAGGGAACCCTTTTCCCATTTGGCAGTGTGAAAAACAAAAAAATTTAAAAACCCAGTCTTGATCTAAAAAAGGCATTTGTGGGTGTTTTGATGAAACCCCAATTTTTCATTTTTTATTTTTGAATTACCAATTTATTAAATATTACGGGTTATATAACATTCTAGCCCCGAAAAGAAAAACGCATCATGGGGAAACCCAATACCAAGGGACGGGCCCAACCTTTAAACGTTAAATTCACCAAGGGTACCACCCAAAAAAACACCACCCCATCCAAGTGCCAAACAAAAAGGGAATGGGAAAGTGGATTATCGTTTTTTAAAATGATGTCACAGTCACGATTTTTTCCAGGCCAATTTAGAAGTTTTTCCCAGAAATAAATTTTTTTTAAATAAGGGTTATGAATGCTTTAAAATTCTTTTGCTTATAAAAAAATGCTGGGGGGGCCGGGCCCCGAGTGTTTTAAGGTTTTTGACTTAAACCCTATTTACGTCATTTTTTGGATTCGAACCTGACAGAGCCCTTTTGGATTTTTTCATTTTGGGGTCTACCTTTTTCGGGTGCCCATTGGTACTTTTTGGGTGCCTGTTTTGCCTGAAATAATCCCATGGAAGGGCAATGCTTAAGGTAAAGCTGGAAAGGTCACTTTATGAAGCTATAATAGGTCATATAGTGACTTTCCAGCTTTATCAGGCTATATAATTGTTGATGTGACGTAAAACCCAACCCCAAAAACTAAAAGTAGAATGCTGAAGATTTATCTGTGAGAGAAAAAAAGTTACATCTCACTTCTTCATAATATGTGTAAATACCCTGTTCTTTTTAAAGATAAAATAGACAAGCAGAATGGAGAATAATTTCACAATAACATCATTAAATTAAGTGTAATTACTGGAATGTTGCGATGAAGTTGTAAAATAAGATTTGTTAATTTTAATGAATAAAATTTTTTTTTGTTAACTAATAAAGGCTTTGGGCTGTCAGAAATGTCTTTGGTTTGAATGGGGTGGGGGAAACAATCCCACTTTTCAGGGGTTGGTCTGTGGTATGAACTTTTAACGCACCCTGTGTTTCACTAAACCTTATATCATGCAAGGCACCTCATTGTTATCTCATCTTTGGTTAACTTCTTAGAAAGTTACTACTACCTGTGGATGTGCTTTCAATAAAAGTATCAGTTTTAATACTCTGAAGAAAATTAAATCATCATTTACTTATATTGGGGTCATTATTTTCTGTGTTCAGTTGAGGGACTGGGAAAGGTGATCAGGGGGAGGAATCTACAGTGTTTATAGATCTCAGAAACTTTGAACAGATCAGGCAGGAGCAACAACAGAGTATAGAGAGAGAACAAAAAGTTTCTTGGCATTCAACCAGAATCAAGGGTATCTGTCAACCTCTGCAAATTTTTTTTGATTTTCCTTTTTGTTTATGATAACTATAATAGATTACAAATTAAACTTGGTTACAGATTGATTTTTAAAACAACACTGTGTCATTATGTATAATTTTACATTTGGCCTCCCCCAATTGTGTTTTAAGTGATTTATAATAAAAAGTTTGGCAAAAAAAAGGGAAAATGTTTCTTTAGAATCCTCAGAACATGAGAAAAGTTGACTGGATTATGACTAAATATAAAAAAAAACATTTTATAATCAAAATTTAAAATTTTTAATTTTGTTCACTTGTGTGAAAAAAATGAGATAAAATCTTAAAAAAAAAAAGAAATTGGATCTTTTCCATTGTTGGTTGTCTTTGAAATAAGTTTTTTGAAAAAAGGGGATTGATTGAAACTACAAAAAAGATTTTCATATATAAAAACACTTCTATCTGAAAGGGGTTAATTTTTTGAAATCTATTTTTTTACTTATACTCTTGACTTTATTCTTCAGAAGATGAATTTTTTTTTCCATATGAAAGGGGCTCCCCAAAAAGCCTAGCATTACCCCTAAAGTCAGATTCAATAAACCAAAATTGCTCAATTTCCATGTAATTTTTTTTTGTGATTAATGCTTCCGAGGGATCACATTTCATCCAGATTTTTTGTTTTTTTTTTTTTCAAAAACCAAAAATGGTTATTTTTTAATAAAATTGTTTAGTAAAATCTGAATAATCCCTCAAAGGCCACAATGAAACTATAAGGGGATTTTATTTTTAGGAGATATATAGATAAAAGTAGTATTTTTGATCAATATTTTACTGATAATATTTGGTTACACTACTTGAAAGATAATTTGAAAGAAATTGATGCTAAAGGAACTTTTTACAAATGTTTTACAATTTTTGGGAAAATTTTTTAAAAAATTACGGAGATTTGTTTTTAATTAACACCAGCAAATTTTCCATAATCAATAGCATTTTTCTTTTTGTTTGGAATGTAACTTATTTGCGGAAAAGAAAATTTTTTTTTATTTTGTTTATTTAATTGAAAAAGCCCTGAACTAATAAACCCTGGATAGTTTTAATTAATTTAAAATATGAATCGGTAATTTTGTTTTTATTTTGTTTACAATTTTTAACATTGTGATTTTGGGAAGCAGAACTTAGAAAGTTTTTTTGACATATTAAAACTTTTTTTTGGCTTTTTATACGGGTTTGTAGTTGCTCTTTGATTTCGGGCGAGGGTTGGGGGACTTTGGAAGAACAACGCAGAAATTCAAGCAACATACCGTATCTAGTCTAAAAACAACCAAGAAAAAATACACTCCCAATGATAAACACCGTGTAAGATATTTATTTGTTTGTATTTTGATACAGATTTTTTGAACCTGATTTGTATGCATGTTTTGCCCAACCTTTTATACATGCATCAGAAAGGTTATTTTTTGACTTGGGGGTAAGGCGTTTTCAAGTGAACTTGGTAGATTTTTGGCTGTTTAAAAAAACAAAATGTTTTTTGTAACAGTTTTTAAGTTTTTCCCCCGACAAAATAAAAAGGGGGGGTACCAAAATTTTAATTTTTTAAGGAAAGGAAAAACCTCCATGAAAATCTTTTTTTTTTAAAAGCTTCAAATTTTTTGTTTTCGTTTTATGGGCCTTTATTTTCGTTCCCTTAATCTTTTTGAAATATTATTTTTGTTGCGGGTTTTAAAAGGGGTTTTTTTAATAAAATAAATTTTAATTTTTTTTTTTTAGAAAGGGCCCCCCGGAATAAAATATCCCCCAAGTTTTAAAGAAAAAAGTCCCGTCCCAAAACCAAAAAGAAAGGAATTTTGAGAAAAGAAAAAAAAGTAAAGTTTTACAAAATTTTTTCTAATAAAATACCTTTTTTTGATTCAATTTGACATTTTGTGATTTTTAGATGAATTTAATTATTCTGATGTGACACTGTCAGATGCTTGTTAATGTAGAAGTCATGTGTTTATAGTATTGCTTATAGTGAATTGAAACCTGGGTAGATTTTTGATAACAATTGAAATTATGCTCCTATGTAATTAAAGGTTTTGATAACAATTGCAATTATGCTCCTATGTAATTAAAGGTTTTGATAACAATGAATTATGCTCTAATGTATTAAAAAGGTTTTGATAACATTGAAATTAATGCTCTATGTAAATTAAGGTTTTTGATAAGCAATTGAAATTATGCTTCCTATGTAATTAAAGGTTTTGATACAATTGAATTATGCTCCTATGTAATTAAAGGTTTTGATAACAATTGAAATTATGCTCCTATGTAATTAAAGGTTTTGATAACAATTGAAATTATGCTCCTATGTAATTAAAGGTTTTGATAACAATTGAAATTATGCTCCTATGTAATTAAAGGTTTTGATAACAATTGAAATTATGCTCCTATGTAATTAAAGGTTTTGATAACAATTGAAATTATGCTCCTATGTAATTAATGGTCATTTAAAATACAGAATGTAAATTGACTTATCTCATGACTCATTAGTATTGACATTAAGGCTTCAGTTGTAATGTACTTATATAACAATATGAATTAATATCATCAGAATGTATTTGTTGGAGCATATATCTGTAGATATCTGTTTTCAAAAAGACCCTGTAAATTTTTTTTGCATAAACTGGGTCTTGAGGCACAAAGCAAAAGAATTAGTAAAATCATTTTGCAAATGAGCAAAATTTTACAGAGCAACAATTCATGTAAATAGAAATTACGAAAGAGCAAAGTTTCAGGTATTTTGCATTTTCAGGAAATTACGTGAACAGAGGGAAAGCGAGAGACAAGCAAAACTGCGTTTACAGAAAACGGTTCTCGATAGCTCTGAAACCCAGTGCTTCAGTCAGTGGTAGACAGGATCCTGCTGAAAATACTCCTACTGTATTTGAGCTGGTAAAATGTCAAGTTATTTATTTATTATCATTTGGGCAGCAACTGATAATAATATTGTTTCCTACTGCCGTTTGATTACTGTTGTTCAGAGATAAGTTGACCACACAACCAGCATAAAGTTGATCTTGTAGTTCATTATTATAATCTACTAGTTTTGATTAAATCTTCATCTGTTCATCTGAAATATAGTATTTACTTATGGAAAAAGATGCTGATTTATGAATTATATGTTAAAAAAATTTAATTTTCAGTCTTACTTGCTTTTACGCTTAACTAGCAGTAGTACAAAAAATTTGTGTTAAAAAAATCACCCACTGGAAAAACACTGCCCCTCTCACTGCTGTGAGTTTGAATCCTATCAGGGACCTTTGATTCTTCCATGTGAGGAAGCTATCCAACTAGTATATGGAAGGTTAGTTCTACTTGGTGCCCACTTGAGCCTGAAGAAATGCACAAAAGGGTCTTTACCAGCAATTTAGTTGGTAAATTTCTGTATGACCTTTATGGTGTCAGTGAGACTTAAATCCAACAAAACAAACAAACAAAATGGTACAAGTCTATCTGAAAAAGTTACTTTTCAACCTTAATCATTTGTTATATGACTTAGATCAAACAAACAAAAGATTTTTTCTTCTATTAAAGGAAGCATCGTATGAACCAGCTCCCCGTAAACTGCCCCCAGTTCTCTCACAAGAGACAGATACTGTTCTACTAACCATTCACCTGAGCTCAAATGGAGAGATTGTTCTTCACAGGGGTAGTGGAAATAAAAGTGTTGATACAGGTAGGTAATCTCTACTTTGTGTTTAACCCTTACTTAGTTAGATATTTTATATGGACTTGTCCATCTTTCAACACGACATAACTATTAATTATTTTAAGGGAATTATTCAAAATCTATATTTACTGAATAGAGAACACAGAGACAAGGTAGCACATATGTTTATAGCTATCCATGACGGCTGATACAGATTCAGTGGCTGCAGGCTAAGAGTTAAATATGGACTGGCTTTCATTATCGTGCCAATTCATGGATTTTGGAATGTGTTTTGTGAGGAAGTTATTCATCTAGCTTACGAATGATGTGATTCTACTCAGATGCCTGTTTGTACCTGAATTTATGCATGAAGGGGGCACCTGAGGTCTTCCAAAGTTTGAAAGTTTTCATATTACTTCAAAAATGTTGTGTGGTTTTGCATCTTGTTTTCAGTTATATTTTAATGCCAGGTTAGTTCCTTTAGATGGTAGTATGGTGCATGTTTTGATTTGGGAATTATATTAGAATTACATCTTTACTGATTTTTAAATAACAGGCAGTGGTTTATCAGCAAGCTACACAGCATTACTAACCTGGCTCCTAGCTCTTGTTCCCAGTAGCTTCAACTACCTCCAGGAAGGTGGTGTAGCTGAGTCATCTACACCATGGATACTGCCATTCTATGTGATTGGTCTACAACAGGTGCTTCTTGATGGTCAGTTGTGCCTAATTGTGGCTGTCACTCCTGTAGAGCAATTTGATGCTAAATTTATACCAGGAAAATCCAAGAAAAATAAGGTTTGTTTTGAATATTTTTGTTAAAGACTATTGTCTTTATTTTGTTGTTAAACTCATGGCAATTTTGCCAGTTAATGAAAACATTTTTGCCAGGTAAAGGTCACATTTATAAAGGTGAAATGTTGCTCTTTAAATTATATATTGATTATTCCTTAAAGGATTTTCTTGAACTTTTTTGCAAATGTTCACATCAACAAAGTGAAAGTGCCGCCTCAAGATTTAGGTCACCCTTGAAGGTGATATGTCAGACAATTTTTAGCATGACTATTCGAAGAATAGGAAGAGCTTTTGTACTAACCATGGTGTCTGCATCACACTAACAATTTTTTTATGCAAGTTAGTATCTCCAAAACTACTGAAGATTGAAACATCACACATTCTTGCTGCACGCATAGTTTAAACTTTTTCTGCAGCTTTGTGTGGATTGCATTTGCTTTTATGAAAAAATGTAGAAGACTGATTAATACTATCTGCTTCTCTATGCCCTCTATGTTCATTCTACTTCAGAGTATGAGACCAGTGTAGTTGCTGTAGTATATAAACAGAATAATGCATAAATATAATGACTTAAGTATGGAATTAGCATTTCTAAACCTTTAATTACTTTTTTTTCAGAAATCTGAGAACAAGAATGCTACAGTATTCCAGCAGCATCTACAGAAATATTTCTCAACCAACACTCTACACAGTGTGTGTCCATGGCTACAGAACATGGTTTCCATGGAGTTAGGACCGCCAGGAGATCAAGATTCTCCTGATCATGAAAATAGTAAGTAAAATTTATTGGGCTGTCCGGTGTCAGGACATTGTACAAAATACATTTGTAGAGGCTAAAAGACTCATTCTAAAGGTGATGAATTAAATACAGCCCGAGGGTGCCTGTGCATATGTTGGTACATGATTAAAATTTTTATAGGGAATTTCTGTAAATCATTAAAGATAGAATCAATTTGTCTATTAATGCATGGCCTTTGCCATGTTAATGACCTTAACAGTTCCCCAGTTTTATGCATGTCACCAGTTTGAATTGCTTATGTTTAGTTTTGTTTGTCTTGCAGGTTATGTGTACAAGCCACCATTACCAAACATAACCACTAAACCACTGTCAACATTTATACATGTGAACCCAGACCCTCAAGCAGCTGTCAAGGTATTTAATTCATCTGTCGGTTTCTTCTGGCAAACTGTCGACAGTGATGAGGCCAGTCTTGATCAAGACCTTCATGACGAAGGGATTAACTTTGACACACAGAACACTATATCTCTTATATATAAGAAAATTTATCAGGAACCCTCGGCTATGATGGGTATCTTAAACAGAGTGTTACAGTTAGGTTTAGATTTGTCTGGTATTAGACTAGTGTATCCGTCCCCGGAACAAATGAACATTCAACAGAGTGATAACGCGTCGGTTTTATCAGAACTTGATTTATTAAACAATGTTGGTGCAGTATTGGCATTGTGTATACGAGGCACAGCCGCTAGGTCCCTATGGTTAGATGCTGTTGGTCCCTCAGACCCAGCACTGGCACGACGTACAGACCCTAATAGTCTGTGTGCTTTATACGGGGGCGAATCTCGAGACGAGTGTTTGTTGTTCTGTCCAAGGACCGCAGCTCGTGTTCATACCGAACTTGCTCGCTGGTTTGGTGGCAGAGTACCACCGGGTAATGTAATCGATGTAGGAACTCCATACACTAAAAAAGACACTCTGAGAAGTGGAAGCCCAAAAGGAAGAAGGGGCAAGAAAGTGTCCTTTGCTGATAAAGACTCGAGTGAGAAAAACAAGGATTCTATCGATGAAGTTCATAGACCATTAGCAACACTGACTGCAACAACAAAAAGTGAAATACTGTTAGTAATGTCACCATTAGTGCCTCCAAAATGTTTTGGAATTGTTTTAGCATCGTGCCAGAGACGTGGTTATCAAGTTACAGGGGTTAGAAGGACTAGGTTGTCAAACAAAAGGGCAGCGGCAATGGGTAATATATAAATTTTCATTGTATTATTTGTTTTATTCCAGACCAAAAAATGTTCTGATGACTGTATCAAATAATAATATACATATAAATACAATTATGTAAACATAGTCTCAAGATAACTTTATTACAGTAAATATAAAATGTTAGACATTGTTTCATTGAAAAACCTGTGTTCTTAGTTCATTCAAGATCAATGATATGAGTGACAGAAAATTTATATGTTAATTGTGATATATAGTGTTTATTACATGCTTTTCGGTGGGTAACAAATATCCTCTATATATTAGAATATAGAGGATATTTGTTTAGTTCAGTGTAAGATCGGAATATATTTCACCGAGTGAGCACCAAAAGTTATATTTCACGAGTGGCGCAGCCACGAGTGAAATATGAACTTTTGGTGTTCACAAGGTGAAATATATTTCGATCTTACACTAAACTAGACAAATTTTCTTTTTATTATATGCAAAGAAACGTTTTAAAAAGACATTAAACCTAATACTGAATGAAAAGCGCGCCAAATAATAATACAACGTGACGTCATTTACGACGTCACGTCATTAAGTTGGTACCCAGTTCTGTGCACGCCGGTATTTCACTGAAACAACGTAAGGGGCTTAAATTCAAAACAGTGAAATTATCAAAGTGGTAATTTCACTGTTTCAAACAGTGAAATTACCATTTTTTTTTATCACTGATATATTTCTATAAACCACCGAAAAGCATGTAATAAAGAGTATTGATTATCAATTTTTAAGGAATAACTGGAGATGGTTTAAAAGCCTTTTGTCCCGGATCTGCAGCAGAATCTTATGATGCCTCACTAGCAGGTCATGTTGACCCTCAAGGTCACGGTCAGTGGCGCGAGTCTACATTCCCGTCAACCATTCTACAGTTACTGAAGGAGAATGCTAGTCACAGTGCGGCCAGTCTTGTTGAGGACTGTATGGTGCAACTAACACTACAAGGCATTATGGGTAATTTATATGTACACTAAATTCTATATTGCATGTCATGAAGTAGAGGAAATCTTTACTTCCTGCATAAACTTGTATGAAATGTATATAATTGAATAGTTCACAAGATGGGTTGGGTTTTTTTTAGAAGAAGTATAAGTAATATATAGGATATAGCTTTAGATGGACAAATAATTTCTATTTGTTGTACATTGATTCTAGATTCAAAAGGAATTGTTTAGCTACTTATGTTTTTTTTTATTCCCACATTGACAGATCAGCTAGCATATGCTTTTGCCATGTCCCACTCTCACTGTTCCACTTGTGAACATTACATTACACTTTTTTCTAATTATATCTCAGGGCATTTGTTTTTACAACACACATTTTTATTGTACCAATTTGATTACCAATTATAGTTTCTCTTTATTGTGTAAAATATTTTATATAACTTTGATATAGATAGTTGGATAAAAGTTACATGCTTTCTCAATAGATAGATAATTGGAAATTTCAGGGACATTACAAAAACGAGAAGGTTACCCACTAGAGTCTGTTCATATGTTCCATGCTGCCAGATATTCTGATGGTTTACTATCTACACTTGGTGGAGAATTCAGCAAGGTAAAATATTGCTTTATAGAGTTATTTTAATTACCTGGTTGCTAGGATTGATTCAGGTGCTTCAGATCTGAGTTAGATTCTTATTCACATATGATGTCTAGAATAGTTGATCAATGCTAGGCTATTGCTATGTGATATCATTTATTGCAAGTTGAACTGAGAAGGAATGCAGTTGAAATAAAAGACAATAGTTGTTTGTTTCTGTAGCACAAATTTGTCTGTTAATAACTTGGGATTCTCAAATAAATTCTCACATAAGCTAAGATACATATACCCATTACTTTGACTATCCCAATAACAATTAGTAATGTCTTAATTAATGTTATATACAAATTAATGTTATATACCTGTTTGCTGGATCAAATATTATTCAAAATATATTCTATATTTATTACTTGTGATTAATGATATAAATATTTATAAATTAGACGCATCACGACAAAACCAACATAGTGGGTTTGCGACCAGCATGGATCCAGACCAGACTGCGCATCCGCGCAGTCTGATCAGGATCCATGCTGTTCGCTTACCAACTCCATTACAAGTAGAGATACTGATAGCGAACAGCATGGATCCGGATCAGACTGCGTGGATGCACAGGCTGGTCTGGATCCATGCTGGTGACAAACACACTATGTTGGTTTTGTTGTGACGCGGCTCAATGTTTTAACTTTCACTCTAAATGCCAGTTGATATGTTTCGTTTTGAATATTTCAGTGTTTTGATCCAGAGGTGCAAATTAACCCAAGTTATGTAATACCAAAACTGTATACCAACCCAGAGCTTGAACAAATCACAGTCCTTATGCTGTTAGGGCATGATATTCTGAAAACTTCAGGGTTATACATTGGTAAGAAAATGTTCTTAACTTTGAAACTTGAAGAAGTGTGTTTTGTATCTTACCTCTAGTTTTATGCCAAAACTTTTTTATGTCATTTAGTCAGAAACCTGTGCAGAGGTATATGTATTTTTATTAGAGTAAAAAAGTAGCTATATTTCAACATAGTTATGTTTGATACATTCTATTTTCAACACAATACTTAATGTGGATGTCAGGTAACAGTAAACTTCAAATTTTAAAATGAACAAATTAACATAGGTTTCTTAAAGTATTTCAGTTGTCACTATTTAAAAATAGTGCACACCACTAAATTTAAGGTCTCCAGTAAAAGTTAACTGCTCAAACATTTGGTCAATAGTCTTTTTGTTATGCCATTGACATTATCCTTAGGCCTGCTGATATATACATAAGTAAAGGAGATACACATGACGGACAGGGCAAGCAAAATCTTATTTTGACTTGCCTGTCCATCTTATCTGAAGCATTTCTTTACTTGTGGGTATGATATTTATAAAGCAAATTCTGGAAAATAATTTTACTTTGTAGCTCGACTATTCGATAAGAATAAGTAGAGCTATTGTAGTCACCCGAGCGTCGGCGTCGGGGTAACCACTTATGTTAAAGTTTTTGTAATAGTTTAAATATTTTCAAAGTCCATTGACATATGGCTTTGAAACTTTGCACACTTGTTCACCATCATTACCCCAACCTGTAAACAGGAGGAGGTAACTGTATCAAGCATTTTGACAGAATTATGCCCCTTTTTCGACTTAGAATTTACGTTAAAGTTTTTGTAATAGTTCAAATATTTTCAAAGTCCAGTGACCTATGGCTTTTAAACTTTGCACACTTGTTCACCATCATAACCCCAACCTGTAAACAGGAGGAGGTAAATGTATCAAGCATTTTGACAGAATTATGCCCCTTTTTAGACTTAGAATTTACTTTAAAGTTTTTGTAATAGTTCAAATATTTTCAAAGTCTATTGACATATGGCTTTGAAACTTTGCACACTTGTTCACCATCATTACCCCAACCTGTAAACAGGAGGAGGTAAGTGTATCAAGCGATTTTTTTTACAATCAAGCACTAAGAATAGTCGAGCGTTGCTGTCCTACCGACAGCTCTTGTTTAATTTTACAGTTGATTTTGCACCCCCTTAACAAATTTTATGTATATCATAATTATTATGTCAAAGTGTTTAAACTTATAACATAAAATTTGTGTTATGATTTAGGTAAACTGTTGGGAATGTTACCATATAGCCGTCATCAGCAACCATTGCCGTTTAATGATGGTCTAGAATTATTAGGTATGAAGTGGGTGCCAAGGCTTACTGTCTCCCAGGCAAAGGAAGTTACACCATGTGAAGTAGGAGACAGACTATGGAAGGATAGTTTACATACACTTGCTACAGGTAGGTGATGTTATATCAATCAGAATGTTTTCGAATTAGCTACTCAAGTAACTTGTGTCAATTTTTTGTGCATGCACAGTTTGATAACTGTGTTATATCTCAAACATATCTGGTAAAAATCAAGTGGATTTCAAAATGGCGACAGGAGGTGTACCCACTTTATTGTTGGAAGAAATGTTTGACTGACATTACTCTTGAAAACAATTCCATTATGCAACTCTTCAATATGTGCAGCAAAATGATTTGTAGTGAGTTAAATTTTTGTAGCTTGATTTTTTTTTTGTCTTATTTAAAAAAAAATGTTCCATACTTTGTTTTATTCTTTTAAACCATGATTCCTTGTTTTAATTTTTATGTCGGATCATGTTCCTTAGATTAATTGTTTTATTTTATAGAACCATGTTTGGTACTGGCACTGCGAGGTGTAAATGCATTTGCCAAGCTTGAGAGTGTGGTACAGCCACGTCCAAGCCCCACATCAGGCCAGCAGTTTAACCTAGACATGATCCATGCCAGGACGGCAGAGGAAGCTTACACTTACACCAGGCTGTTCTTTACGGAGAGGGAACTGTTCTCAGATCCACTGGCTAGACCTATGTTACCATATATCCCAATGTATCACTCTAAACATGAATCACACCATTTTGCTGGGTAAGAAATTTCATTCTTGCTTTATACAAATATTATTTCTGTGTATGTTTTGAATTGTTTGTTTAAATATTCAGATTATTTCTGTGTTTGTTTTGAATTGTTTAAATATTCAGATTATTCTGTGTCTGTTTTGAATTGTTTGTTTAAATATTCAGATTATTTCTGTGCCTGGTTTGAATTGTTTGTGTGAATATTCAGAAAATTTACAGTGGAGACAATAGGAAAGGATAAATGTATTGCATTGTTTTAATTACTTGGCAGCTTTTCAGAAAAGTGCTTATAAGGTTTTAAGAAGAAATATTATCTGTATGGTGTAAACTTTCTTGATTTACTTGATGCTCTGTTATTAAGATTTGCTTAAAATTTCTAGATGTTGTGTTGCATTTAATAAATAAGTATATTATAAATAACTTCTTCCAAATTACACCATAGGCATATATTTCTAAAATACAACTTCACCTGTGCTAATCTTAATAAGACATATACAGTTAATGGCAATACATTATATGTTATTTTCAGGTCAAGGCATGTGAAAGAATCCAGTACATACCCTATAGAGGAATCTGTCTTTGAACAGATGCTATCAGGACCACGTCCCTATTCCACATTCCTTGTTATCAAACCTCGAGCTTTCCAGAGACATTTGTCTAAGATATTTAAGAAGCTTGCTCAAGAAAACTTCAAGATTGTCGCCCTTAAAATTCAGATCCTGACCACAGATCAAGCACAGAGACTTTTACCAAGGGATATACAGGTAATTTAACTTTACTGTTTGAAGAATGTCTTTTATATTGCTTCACAATGGAGTGATGAGTCATCAACACAGATGAGTTAACTTTTCTTATTCAAAACAACAAGCTAATATTTTAATCCCTAATATATAGTAGTTTATTTTGTATTATTTCTTGAATAACCACAAACTGTTGGAGATATTTAAGAAGTAAATCAAAGATATCATTTGTCTTGTTGTCCACAGTATTACAAGTTGCAGACATTGATTTTTGGTTTTTGTGACATATCTTTTAAATACAAAAAGACATTAATACCAACTGATATAAAATTACTTATTTTCTAAACAGGATTATTGTTGAAATACATGACAGAATCGTAAATAAGCAATAGAAGCATTGGAAATATGAGTATACACTTGTCTGATGTTTTATATGTACAGTCCAAGTTTACTCAGTAAATATTAGAATATCATTTTCTTGCATATCAGACAGGATTATCTACCATTTTCACCGGTGCTAGAAAACTGTGTCTTACACCCCCCATGTAAGATAAGTTGCATGCTTTAAATGACGTCATTGCATGCGCGCCTTTAATGAATGAATTGTTTTCTTAGGATGACTTCACTTAACCGTTATGAACGAAGATGTAAGTTCTTACGCTACTATTAGAAATAAGTGCGTAATGAGAATATCAGTTTTCGTAATTTCTGTTCTGAAAATAATTGATATGTAATATGCAAGGAAAAGAATCAAACACCGGCTATCGGTGCAGACGGGAATATCTAGCTTTAGGGTGACTGTTTACGGCGGAAACTCGGCAGAGCCTCGTTACCGCCGTAAACAGTCACCCTCAAGCTAGATATTCCAGTCTGTACCAGCAGCCGGTGTTAGATTCTTATAGTCTCTCACAACTGATTCAAAAATCATGTAGGGTAAGTAGTTGTTCACTTGCAGAGAAATTGGTATTTCTGGTGAGTTATCCAGAAAAGCCGGTTAGGTGAATCAACAACTGAGACTAGTCGTACTAGTAATCTAATGATCGCTAACCGCATGGGTTCAAACCTGTCAGGGGCGAGTCATTGTTTCTTTGAGCAAGAAACTTTATACTCATTGCTCAGTACTGGTTGGTTCCAGGAACGAATTCGAAAGTGTGTCTATAAGCTTATAGCTTCCTATACAATCAAACTAAAATTAATTTTGTATAAACCAACCACTGAGATAATTATGATAAAAAATGAGCCGCATCACGACAAAACCAACATAATGTGTTTGCGACCAGCATGGATCCAGACCATCCTTCGCATCCGCGCCGTCTGATCAGGATCCATGTTGTTCGCTTACCAACCCTATTACAAGTAGAGAAAAATAGCGAACAGCATGGATCCTGATCAGACTGAGCGTATGCGCATGGATCCTGATCAGACTGTGATTTAATGTGTTAAAACAGGCATAGAAAAACAAACAATTATTTGCATGTCCTATTTGTTACAGAATGAAGAGATAGACAAACATGTGAATCACCTGACATCAGGACCCAGTATGTGTCTGTGTGTACAGAGAGAGAATGCTGTAAAGAGATTACTCGACCTACTAGGACCCGAGGATCCTCAGAGTGCTAGAAGACAGAGCCAGTTTTACTGGAGAGGAGTGTTTGGTGGTGTTGATAGTGTTACTAATGGCATATATGGTAAATCATTTGTATAAAGTATCTGAGCCGCGTCACGACAAAACCAACATAGTGGGTTTGCGACCAGCATGGATCCAGACCAGCCTGCGCATCCGTGCAGTCTGATCAGGATCCATGCTGTTGGCTATCAGTTTCGCTACTTGTAATAGAGTTGGTAAGCGAACAGCATGGATCCTGATCAGACTGCGCGGTTGCGCAGGCTGGTCTGGATCCATGCTGGTCGCAAACCCACTATGTTGGTTTTGTCGTGACGCGGCTCATTTGTATATTTTAAAAGCTCCAGAGGTTACAGAATTAAGAGTTCTAGAGGTCATGATGTTAAAACTTTGGGGCTTCTGTGGATAAAAGTGAAGGCACAAATATTTTTTACTCATTTGATTTGGGCACTTGAGTTTTCTCTATAAATGAAGCATGCAAGTTTTAACACCCATCTTTCATTTCATTGGAATAGATGTTATATATTAATTGAGCATTACCATAATTGATTGTCTATTTATAGCATCTGGCACATATAAAGAGGCAGTGGAAGATGGGAAGTTGTTTTTCCCCGATGGTTTGTGTTGTGAGGAGTCAGATATAACACTGCAGGAAATGGTGAGTTCATTAGTGACCTTTCATTTCTTTATTGTTGGGATCGATATGTTTTTATATTGATTTCCAGTATTTTTAAAAAATTTATACTTTGGTGCCCTTTTGTGTCTGAAATTATGCGGGGAAGGGCACCTGAGGTCTAACTCCCAGTAAAGCTGGAATGTCGCCATATGACCTATATTGTGTTGGTGTGACATAAAGCCTAATAAAACAAACTAATAAATTTTATACCCCTATTTAGTGGAGGCTGGGAGAGGCATATAAATTTGCCCTTGTCTGTCAATAATGCTGTCAGACTGTTCACCTGTAGACTGACGAAAGAGGAATGGGGGAAGGCATCTGTGCCTTGTGGATACATTTCTAGTTAGATACAGTTCTAGTTAAAATTGTGTTACAATCTAGTGCTAGCAAATAAGTCCTTTCCCTTTTTGCACTGTTATATTGATAGATCCCCACTCTGACCTTTGAATAACAATAGATTTAACCTCAAACACTGACATGTGCTTGTTGTTAACAAATATAATATAGTGAAATTCTTATTGTATCCACAAATCTGATAATAAAAATTAGACACGTCAGGGCTCTATGCATTAATCTAGTGTTACTCAATTACATCTAATTACAGTGTTTTATATTTTATTAGTTTTGACAAATATAAGAGGGGTCAACTCAAATGTTCAAAACTTATGTTATAGATTTGTTATAAGTTGCTTATGTTTTTATGCAAACCCTTTTTTTTGGTATAAATCATTGCAATTCATTATAGTGAGACATGTGAAACAAATGTCTTTAAATTTGTTTTCATTCTGTCTTATTTTAGATATCATGTCCAGCTGTAGATCAGGAGATAGCTATTAGATTTACTACACAAAGAGATGTTGTAGTCAGTAATTCTAAAGATATAGTAAATACAGGTAATGATGATCCATTTAAATTTTTTAGATCGTTGTGTGTTTATATATAGAAACAGTATACATGCACATATAATGTATGTAAAGTTATTTTTGAGTTTACTGTGAGCAGGCATTGTAAAAATTGCCAGACAATCTGAGATGTCCAACATTCTCTGAGCAGATCTAGTTACTTCTCAGTAAGTGTCTAACCAGATGTCAGGCATAATTTATAAATAGATACAAGTTAGATAACAACTTTTGTTACTGATTATTTGATGTCTGGCAACACTGTTTTTTTGTTGGTTTTTTTGTTTTGTTTTTTGTTTAACAATAAAAAAAATCAAATCTGACAAAATTATTTTTCACCAGTTTCATAAAGCCTGTTCTTGGTTACAGGGTTTTTATTTTATTATGCTATGATAACAGATGCTTCACACAAGTTGTTACTACAGACAACATGTATTATCCTGACACCTTTGTTAATGAGGCAGCTAGGATCTCACCATGGTTACGTGGACGTTATTGACGGTCTTATTGCTCAAGGGTAAAATGTTCTAAATTTTCAAGATCTTTCTTAAATGTCTTACTTTTTCCTGATTTATAATAAGTCCATTAATATTAGTCAACAGTTATTTTTTCTGGCCGAGTGATTACATGCATGGCTTTAAACTACCAAGAACTTTTCATTCCACCTCTTTTAGTATAAGGTATGTACTAACTTGTAGTAATCCTGCGTTGACTGGCACATAATTTTAATATTTGAGACGCAGGTACTGTTTGGATATGTGATATCATAGTATATGTCTTTTCTAACATAATTTGAATACATGTTTTTTTTATGGAATAACCAAATTAAATGTAACAGTTTTATATTTTATCTTATGATGATGAAAGAACTGAATTTTTTATACATTATATTTTATTCAAAGTGACCATCTAGCTAGCTTAATGTAGTGTAAATCTAGACAGAACCAAAACAAAAACAACAAAAACTGTGTAAAGTGTAGTGTATATTTGTTGATTTTATATATATATATAGGTTTGAATTTGTTGGAGGAAAACTTGTTTGGTTCACCCAGGAACAGGCAGAACATTTCCTGTGCACAATTGAAGCTGGCAGTTTTCAGCAGGTATGACATGTTTCTTTATTTGTGTAGTAATAGCAGTCTGAAATATATTGCGTGTTTGTGTGAAAAATGTTAAAGTTGGATATCTTTCAAGTTGTTATTTCCTAAAAGAATTTTTCCTTAAAGTTGAATATCTTTACAGATGTAATATTTTTTTCTTATCAATTTTTATTGAACATCATTAAATTTTAGTCCCCAAACCAAGAATTGAATTCTGCAGAAAATCCCTATCATATTCAGGCTCAAAATTTTGGAACTCCATCCCTTTAAACATAAGAAATTCTTCCAACTTACAAACATTCAAAACTAATTATCTAAAACGGTGGTTCTCTGGTGGGCATCAAATAATCTAGCTATTGTTTTAATATCACATATATACATGTATGTCTCATATACATGTATGTCTCATAAAATGTTCAAATGTTTATATTCATTTTTGTAATGCATTTTTCAATAACTCTACTTTTCTATGTTGTATACATCAAGTCTTCTTTATTTATATAAATCTTTTGTTTTTAACTGTATACATGTTTATTTTGATTGAGGCTCATAGGGAAGACCGAGGTTGCCTATCTATGTAACCTCTTTAAATAAAGTCTTTATTATTATTATTATTATTATTATTATGTTTGGTAGCAACTGAACTTTGTTGATTTATTGAGGATTTTCATGTCTTTCTATAAGCACATATGTAGGTTGTTGAGCTTATGTAATATTGTAGTTCATGCAGATTGCATACTTTAAATACATGTATAAATACTACTGATTAAGTTACTTACAATGTATATATTTTGGTTGATATATTTTAGGTGCCTATGCTGGTAACAGGGCCAAGTTTAGTCCTGGCTTTACAAAGAGATAATGCTGTTCTAGCATTTGATACAATACTCAGGGAGTAAGTATTTCTCAAGTAGATAAACTGTATTAATGAATGCTCCTCATTGTTTGTATTTCCATATTAGCTTTGTAAATATGCAAAAGTTATATTGCAGAATCTTAGATATTCTACCATTTTAGAAAAGAGTTTAAATAATAAGCATATGTATAGGTAATTCTTTTTGTTGAATTTTGCATGTTAAAGTTATAATATCTTTAAGCAATTTTGCTAGCCTCCTAAGGTCATTGGTTCCATTCAGACATCTGTGTAGTCTTAAAGATGTACAGATCACCTAAGGCTTTCTTACTTTCGTATGACTGGAAACCTCTCCCAAAACTTAAATACATGCTTTCTCATGTCCTTAAGTTATATATAACTTTGTTTATGAATTTGTTTTAGAAAATCACAAGTCAAAAATTGATAAAAATACTGCATAAATATTATTTGTTAAGCTTTTAGGGAGATAACTATCTCTGACATTTCAGAGAGAAAATTACCTCTGATATTCAGGGAGATAGTTATCTCTGACATTTAAGGTAGATCATTATCATTGGCATACAAAAAGCATATTTGAATTTTCATATATTTTTTCTTTTTCTTGTTATAGAACATACAGTACAGAGAGCAGTCAGGGTAAATCAGTGACAGACTCAGTACTGCACAAGTATGGTAGACTTATTCTCAGACCATCTGATCTTAAACAGGTATTAATAACAGTGGTATCTTCTTCTATCAATGTATACCGACAGGGACTTTGGATTCTTTCATGTGAGGAAGCTATCCAGCTAGCTTACGGAACGTCGGTGGTTCTACTCAGGTACCCGTTCATGCCTGAAATAATGCACGGAAGGGCACCTGAGGTCTTCCTCCACCAGTAAAGCTTGAACGTCGCGATATGACCTATACTGTGTTGATGTGATGTAAAACCCAAAACAAAGTATCTGCATTTTGAAAAACAGAAGGTGAATGATCTGGAGTGATGGTTGTGAGGTGAACAGCTAGGGCATATTAAATGTTCTTCTCAAAGTGATTTAGTTAAATTAACTGGAATAATGGTGATCCCTCGGTAGCATTAATCACAACAAAATTACATGAAAAATCCAGATTCGTAACTTGCACTTAATTTGCAGTACCATCCATGAACAGGCTCAGTCAAAATCTAAAAACTTTCAGATTTCACTACAGATTATTATAAATAAGTTAGTAGGAATTATTAACATAGAACAAATTGGTACATATGATGAGCATTTTGTGATTTTAGACTTTTTGCATCTTATGTATCTGCCAATCTACTGAAAATGTCCTGAACATTATTGCCTAAGAAGTATGATAACAGTTAATTAGTAATCAGTGAAAGCCAATCCTTATGATTGTGTTCTTTTTGTTGTTGTTTTTGTGCATAAAATATACATTTTGGAACAGTTATTTTGAAACATGAAGTGAATTAACATTGATATTAATTATATACATTGTAAATATTACATTTGTTGTTTTTGTTATTTTAGGCAGAAAATGTTCTTGGATTCTTCTTCAACAGTTTGTTACCAAACAGTCTGCTTCAAATTGTTCCAAAGTGAATGCTTCAGTCATGATTATCCATTTTGTGGAATGAAAAATCAGTGTTGCTAAAACAAATCAGTTTTGTGAAAACATATTCTTAAAAAGGGGATCGAAGTAGCAAAGGAAGAAGTTCTGAAATGTTGTTGTTAGACTGTTTTAATGACAGAATTTTCCTTTGTTTGTTGCTGAATTGAAATGTTTTGATTTTTAAATGACTGTGTAAATGAGTGTGAAGAAAAGGGTATTGTTTGTACTGGTTATCTCTATATTTGATAGTAACTGAAGAGCATTTTGGCACAAACTGTTACATATTTTCTGAATTTATTGGTTTGATTTTCATGTAATGTTTTGGACATGAAACAGTTTTGGATTCTAGGCTTAGTCTTAATCTTTCAGACAACAATCATTTTTAAAAGATCATAGAGATACTGGCAATAAATGTATTTATTTTGAGTGAATATAATTTGCAATTTGGTCCTCCATGATGGCTAGGTGATTTAGATTTGTGACTCTAAAGTCACTTTCCACTCACAGATATGGGTTTCAAAATTTGACAGGGACTGACTTCTTTCATGTAATGAGCCTATCCACCTGGCTTAAGGAAGGTCCATGAATTATGGAATGGCACCTAAGGTATGTCTCCTAGAGTAAAGCAGGAAGGACACCATCATATGACCTTGACACTGTCAAAAGGACTGAAAACTGAACAAACAAACAAAAAAGAAATGTATAAAGTACATATTTTTACTAGCACAGTACTTAAATATGATAAAAGATAAGAAGAAAATGTTAGTGATTATAGAGTAATGAAATATGTCTCTTTGATTTAAGCACAAGTTCCTTTTATTGAAAGAAACCTGAAATGATATGATGGAACAGTATATTGTTGTTAACAATTCATCATTAGTGTCGGCCATTTTTACACCATCAATTTGAATATATTTTGTGATGAAATTTAATTTTCACGAAGCTCAACATTAGCTTTTTTTACTTACCAATTGAATGTTATTGATGCATATATTTATTTTTTTTAATCTGTCCTTTGTTGGGTATATTTGCCAAATGAATCAACTCTGTTGATTTGATGTATTATTTTATAGATTGAAAGTCTGAATTTTTGTGTTCACAGAATTGTTTCAACATTGTGTATGAAGTTGTAGATAAAGATGTATATTTTGTTTTTCATTTTGTGTATTTTGCTTCAGAAAAGATTTTATTTTTTACATTTTGAAAGAGGAGTTCTTGTGACTGTCTAAGAAAGATGTGCTGTATACTCTTTCATTTATGTCTCCTAACAGAAATAAAAATGGAACAAAAGTGAATATGAGAAATTCTTTCAAATTTTTTCCATAAGTTCCGACTATAATTTGTGTTACTAGTAAATTCTGAATTTTTATAATGGGCTTGTATTTGGAACTTTCCATTATTTTTAAAAAGGATTTTAATCTTAAAATACTAGAGTTAATGAGTTAAGACAACAAAACTGTCCGGCAAGACCATTCAGACTAACATGTGTCCTGGTATCAATTCATTAACACAACTCTTTCAAGTCTATGCATTAACCACATTTCGTTTGAGACATCAAATATAGAAAGAATACTAATGTATTAAAATATGATGTTATAACATTTTGTAATATTCTTTTGTTGTTATCAACAAAAGTATTGCATGGGTGCATGTATATAAGTGTTCATTTTTTCTGAATATTTACTTTTGAAGTAAAATGTTTGTGATTTATATATAATTTAATATAAAGAATGTCCCAGATTTATTTACATTGATGCTGTTTGAATTTTGTTCACTGTTTTTACAGTCAACAGTATTTATGTTAGTATACTACATTCCGTCCACAGGTATACACTAGATATGTTTGTTGCTTGTTTCCCTTTTAAAGATAACAACATGTATATACTATATATTTATATGTATACATATTTTTACATCGATTATCTCAAAAATAATTTCCATCCATTATACATTGCCTATTTGTTTGTGATAACAGGTTGTTTTTGTAGTATTGATTTACTATTTACATTAAGTATTATTTTGCTTTATGTTTGGAGCAAGTTGCATCATAACTTTAACCTGGTAACTTTATGGCATATTTGTCATGTATTTCAGCTAGAATCTATGAATATATAGCTAGAATCTATAGCATTCCAACTTGATAGAATAGTTCCAGTTGGTCTTCAAAAAGAAATTGTATTGCAGTTGTAAGTAATTTAAATAGTACATGAAGTAAATTGAGATATTGAATTGTCAAATTCTTAGTTGCCTGAATTTCTTTAATTGACATTACCTTCTGCATTTTATTGAAATTAAGCAGTCATCAGTGCAGAGCCTTTGGTCAAACGTCACAGATATGCATACAGCGGCATATGTTTTGTGTCATAGGCAAATTAGCAAAGTTGGACAAAAAAAAAACTATCAACAGCAAATAACTGACAAATATTAATGTTGTAAGAATACACACTCTATACTGGAGGTAAAGTTTTCTGCTAGCACTCAGAGTTCAAATGACAAACCTCTCACTGAGAAGATAAATAAATTTCATGAGTGTGTTGTTAGTGTTAAATATAAAATGTTTCTGTTTGAAGTTAGATATATTCAGTATTATTGGGGTAAAACAAAACAATTATTTTTACAGTGGTGAAATTTGTTGTTTCACACCGATCTCAAACTCAATATTGTTGTTATATGTTATTACATTCATAAAGTTGAGTTTTTCTCTTAGTATACCTGTACAATATAGCCTATCTGAATACTGGAACTTATTTTTGAAATGAATACTGAAACTAATGTTTCAACTTTTAATGAAATTCTCAGAAAATTGTAACATAATTCTCCTTTTTATACTCGACATACTGTGTCTTGCTGTTAACATGTTCTCAACCTGTTAATTTATATTTATCTATCTGGCTTTTGTTGCAGTTGTCACTGTTATGTGTGTTCACATTATTATCTGTTACTGTGATATATGATATAGCATTTTATGACACAAGGTTCTTTCTTCTGTATAGTGGAGAAGAAAAATTTATCTCCTGAAATTCATTGAAAAAATCTCTTAAACAATTAATTTGCTTTCATTTCTAAGAAATGTACAAATTCCAAGATAATGTTAAGTACTGGTAGATTAATTTCGGGAATTTTTTTCTGTGGAACAAGTATTTTGATTACAACCACTGCTCATGAATGACATTTATTAATGCTAATTAGTTTTGTAAAACATACAAGTACTTGCAAAATATTTTCTCTAATCAGCCGAGTGTCACATGATTACAGATTGTGGAATGCATCTTGCAACTTGTGGTACAGGGAAATTAAGAACCAAGTGTCACCTGCAGAAATATATGGGTGGGGGTTCAGTTTATTTTGTAAGCTGAAACCTTACTGTCATGTTTTATTTTAATAATTTATTCAAATTACAGTTTAACTTAAAAGAAATTGTATTAAAGTGTTGCATACCTAAATTGTGTTATGTTTTCTTTTTTTGAAGACATTTTGTCATTTCTAATATTTTATTTATTAATACAACACATTAAGTGATTTGTCCTTCACTTGAAAAGTTTTGTGATGCACAGGATTTAAAAAGGACACATAGAAGTGTTTTTTTTGCTAAATCTTAGCAAGATTTTGAACAAAGAGGTCAGTTTTTGTATGTCGTCAACAATTTCTAATCCGCTCTATATCTTTTGAACCCATGGAAGGAAAATTTTACTGCTTGGCAGAAATGTTAACCGTAATGAGATAATGTACAGAGCACAGGTATGGTCTTTCTCAGGTCAAGGTTATGTTAAAATTTCAAAAATTGTCCAGGGTTCACTTGATTTATACAAGAATTTTTTAGGACAACTGAACTACAAAGCCCAAATATTTGTTATATTTATGTTTTGATATAACATGCCTGTTGGGATGACATGAACATCTGATTTTCAACTCTCATTTCAAATGTACAAAATAACAGAAGTGACATCAAAGTCATGTCGCTGTAAAATGATGTGTAAGTAATAGCCCCAAAAATCTTTAAGAAGTCACAGTTTAATGATAATTTAATAACATGCGTGATATCTAACAATGCCAAAACATAACAGAATCATTGGGAGGAAACCAACAATTTCACAAAAAATTTGATTAAACAGAGTTATCTGATCGAGTTGATTGTAGAGTTAATCTTATGTATTCATATCATACATGCAAAAAAAACAAAAGCATTGATATCCTTCAGTTATGCAAAAACCAACTTCTACAGACAGATGGATGACCAAAATAGAATAAAAGGTAATTTCTTTTGTTTACCTCTATTGTTCTTGTTTACCTCTATAGTTAAATCCCATATGTATTTTCTGTAGTGCAGATGGACAGAACTGATGTTCCGTTTTGACAGTCCTGATTTTTAATTAAGTCTGTTACCACGATGCACGATGGTACGATGGTGAAAAAGCAATGGTAAGATGGTGAAAACACGCTTATACGATGGTGAAAACGTGATGGTACGACGGTGAAATCGCGATGGTATGATGTTACATCGCGTTTTCATCATCATACTATCGCGCCATTGTGATTTCACCTTCGTACCATCGCGTTTCATCATCGTACCATCGCATTTTCACCATCGTGCATCGCGGGTACAGACTAAATAAAGTCACGATTGACCAAACGGAACACCGTTCATAATACATCCTGAAGGTCTTGTGGCTTATCTATGCTGGTGGCAAAGGTTATTCAGTTCAGGTTTCATTAGTGTTGGCATGAAAAGACGCTAGTCAAACATGGCCCTGAATAGTCCTTGAAAATTGTTGGATGATAGCGATTTTTGCAGCCAACATTGGAAAAACAATTATTATGACCCGACTTTATAATCAGAAGAATGCAAAAAACTAATTCATTTAAATTTTCAAGACAACTTTTTTTCTGTATCACAGTTTATCAAGTCATGTAATATACTATATGTCTTGTTTTTCTGGAAAAAGTTTGTACCACTATCAGCCATGTTTTCGCTTTGAAACAATATTTCAATCAGCAGTATGGCCAGCCATGATGAGGAGAAAAAAAGTACTCAAAATCATTCATAATTTAAGTCTTTTATTAAACAAAATGACAAAATTGATGAGATTTCAGAAATATCTATGTTCTAAATTTTCTTACTATGGCAAAAAAGAATGAAATTGTGGAAACAAAATTTTTCATTCACAACTCTGAAACACCAGTGTTTGTGACATTGGCAGTTTCAACAACTTATTTCACAAATTGCAAGCTGATAGAAAAATGTGTAATCGTTTTTGCAATGCAATTTTTTTGAAAATTTAACAGAATAACTTGGTCATATTATCTTTAAGGTAATAAATGATAAACAATTGGCGATATGATGATGATGATTATAAAAAATTTGTCATGTTTTCATTGGTTCTTGTCCATCCATGGATTTGCCTTGTTTTTCTAATTCCGCCCTGAAATGAAAATAGAAGACTTTAAAATAAGCTGCAAATTTACGAAAATGAAGAGCAAAGTAGCTTGTACAATAAATATCTAACCTTTGCTAAAATTTTGCTAAGTGCTATCTATATTGCCGTATTTATTACCTCCAAAATATAAGGAAATAATATTTCTCTGTGATATTTCTGTTTTATTGACTTTTAAGTCACATTGACATGGTAAAGGTTATAATTATAAAGACTTTGCAGCTTTACTGGTGGAGTAAGACCTTTAGGTGCCCATTTGTGCATTATTTCAGGCACTAGTGAGCACCCGCGGATTTTAACCCACAGAGTCGAGGGGCATATGATTTGAAAAACCATTTGGCCTGACTGAGGCCTTAGATTTCCCAAAGTAGAATCATCAACATTCTGTTAGCTATTTGAATAGATTCTTGACATGATAAAATTAACATCATTATATAAATCAAACCTCCAATGTCAAAAGGCAAAATGATCACCTGTAGGCTTTCTGTAGCAAAAAACAAATTAAGAGAGACTTCAAATTTTTCAAAATACATGTATTCAAGATTACCTAAGTTGTAATGAGAAATCATCATCTATGTTATCATCATCCCAATTATCTTCCCATACATTAACATCCTGTTTGTCTTCCTCATCGTCAGCCCAATCTGAAAAATAAAACAGCATGTAGTACTTCACATAATCATGTTTGACTTAATGCTCCTAACATGAACACTTTTTTCTCTAAAGTTATAGTTAAGCAACTTTCTGTTAAAATGTCTTAATAAGCTAAAGAATGTGATTTCTCTTAATCATGAAATAAAAATTCAACCTGGTTGCATTTTCTTAGTGAATCTTTTGTCTTCAAAGAGACAAACTGACAGCTAATCTATTGGTTAGTGTATTGTTTAAATCACATCTCATCATATTATTGTTACTAACTATAAAAATTACATTGATATATATAATTTCATGCAGACCATTTAAAAACATTTAAAGGACTGTCAAAAATCTTATGCTAGATGGTTAATATTTCTATAATATAGTATAAAAAGGATATATTGAATGAGTGTAGGTTTAATACTAAATTTACTTAACCAGTTGAATAAAACAAGAACTGTCGGTAGGACAGCAACGCTCGTCTATTCTTAGTGCTTGATAGTAAAAAAAATGCTTGATACAGTTACCTCCTCCTGTCTACAGGTTGGGGTCATGATGGTGAACAAGTGTGCAAAGTTTCAAAGCCATATGTCAATGGACTTTGAAAATATTTGAAATATTACAAAAACTTTAACATAAGTGGTTACGCCGACGCCGACACTGACGCCGACGCTGGGGTGACTGCAATAGCTCTACTTATTCTTATCGAATAGTCAAGCTAATTATATGACGCTAGCCTCTGGCGAACATAATATTGTTTTATTCAACAAGTTCAATAAATTAAAATTTGAATCTACATGAATATAATATATTATTTAATTTTACCTATGAAATATGGTGCTATATCAGTCAAATATATTTCATATTTTTTAAAAATAAATATGAAATATAAATATGAAAGTGGGCGGAGTCAAAACTCGTATTTATTTTAAGGGACTTCTTTCGCCATTTTGTTTGAAAAATCTGATAAATACAAACAACTTTTTTGTTGAATTTTGTTTGAAAAACTATCTAGAATGATAGAAAATGGTCTAACTAAGAAAATAAATCCGAACACCAATATCTTTAATTCAGTCATTAACGCTGTATAGACGTTTTAAAAGTTGTTTACGTGACGTCACAATCTAGCGCTAAATATCGCGTGCAAAACAAGACGATACTTATATTACTGCGCGCTGTATAATTGCTGTTGCGTAGCAGGCAAGGGGGTTCATAACCATTTTTCTTTGATAATGAAATTAAATAAAAAGGTTATTTTTTCGTTTTTCGTGAAATATGGTATATTTTTTCACTCAACATGATAAAATGCCTCATATTTTCACTCGCCGTCCCGGCTCGTGAAAATATGTGGCATTTTATCATGTTTCGTGAAAATATATTCCATATTTCACTCAAACGAAAAAATATCCTCTTACTATTTATCACATATTTAAAAAGAGAGCAGTTAACAGATAAAATGAGTCATATAGTGTTACTGTAAATTCTTATGCTAACATTAACGTGCTTTAACGCTATGTTTACATATAGCGCAAATGACATCCTTCTTCTTTTTTCTTTTTTTTTTATTTCCTCCAATATTTGAAGAGCAAAACATATATACATACAAAAAATACAAATATTTACATGAAATAATAAAACACAAAACATATTATGAAACATAGCATTAATAACAAGTGAAGAGAGGCAATTTCCTTAAGACTGCACATGTCGAAAGTGTTATTACACTAGTGTAATGTCGTTTTAATTAATAGCTTTATTACACAACGGTGCTGTGGTTTAAGTTTATAGTGATAAGTTGACGATATAAGGGACTAGTTGACTCATTAAGGACATATCGATCAAAACTAGGTGACAAATGACTTGACAAAAAGGTAACGAGTTGACCACAGAAGGAGTTGACCACGGACGACGAGTTGACCTTACATGATAAGATAATGCGGTTCTAATCTTCGGTCACTTGCATGTACAGCCTGACCAAGACTCATACGCAGGACCCTTGGAATACCATACTGATGCTCTACTGAGCTATCCTGCTTCAATATAATGACACAACGTCCCACTGGCACTGGCCAGATAGGGGAAGTTATGGATATTTATTGGTTAGAAGATACAAATTCTTTTATATGTGGAAAATTGTACGTATTTTTCAAACTTAATTTTAATTTCATATCAACTGATTAATAAATTAGTTATTTAGCCAATATGGGATATTTAGTGGGCTAATGCCTATCCGAAGAACACAACATGTAAAAGACGCTTAGAAAAAAGTAAGAAAATAGAAATGACGATTCAATTTATTGTAAACAACGAGAAAATTATCTTCTTTTCATACCTTCAGCTGGAAACTCTTCAAATTCATCATCTTCCTCTAATAATCCCAACTCTGGCTTAGATTTTTGTTCAGTCATTTTGCCGTTTTAAATGCTTGCTCGTGGAAATTAGTAATTGTCACAATAAATTTTTCTAATGCTGACGATGAATTATGCGGATACCTTTTGTGTTTATGGTTGACCACTGTATGTTGACATCAAAATGAAAACAATTTTAACTTTTTTCTTAATTTTGCAGTTTTTGCAAACAGCGTCTACCTTTTTCGATATTGATGAGCTTAAAAGCTTTAACTATGGTATCGACATTAGAAATGAACCAATAGTTATGAAATCTCAGGTTTGTTTACAGTATTCACTATATCAGAGATAATTTGCCAGACAGTGCTTACAAACTTGACATCAACATGTACATTAAAATGTTTGTTATTTTTATAAAGTCTCCTTTTATTTCACTTTTTAACATTTCTTAGTGGCTTGACGCACAAATTGTCGGCATCCGAGAAGGGAGCTACTGGTTGGGGACCACCAAACCCAGACAACCATCAAACCTGGACAGGCCTCGAAAATGCTTAATATAATGCCTTATTCTCATCGATTCGTGCCTTCTCATCGATTCGTGACCTAAATAATTGTATGGTATAAATACTTCTGCAAGGACATACACCATCCGAAAACTACACAAGTTTTATTAGACACTCGATTTGACAATTCTCTCCAATCAAAATGCGTAATTGAACAGGTGTAAATGACCTTACCCTACAATCAGCTGGCGACCTTACTGGTTGGGGACCACCAAAACCGGACAACCACCAAACCCGGACGGCCCCGAAAATGCTTAATTTAGTATTTTCGATGTTCAGTGGTTTTCAGTCACTTTTTCATCAACAATAAATGCATGTTTCTACTAAAATTAAGTAAATAAATTTATATTAACCTCCCTAAATGGTAATATTTCAATGCCTTTTTCTAGAAAGTTGACATTGTCATTTGGGGGGTCAAGAATGCATTGCCTGACCTCATATATCAGCTATAATCATTTGCAAAGTAAACAATAGAATATCCAAAACTTAAGCATTTGTTGCTGAAATATTGTATATCATGATTAAAATCTAAAATCAAAACACCCAAGCTTTTATCTGAATTAAATCATGTGATGTACATATCTGTCCGGACACATGGTACTGTAGTGTAGACAATCTAGGTAATTTTGATACCCTCCTTGTCGAGCCTCAGATATAAGTGTCAATACAATCAGAAATAAACAAACTAGTTTGTTAGTTAGGAGAAGAACCTAGCTAAACTGTGTCAAATTTTAAGGTCTCTATGTTAAAAATTATGAAATCTGTACGGAAAAATGTTCAAAAAGTGTCCGGTTGATGGTCCCCGACCAGTATTACTTTAAAATATACGATATTAATGTTTTAATTTATCAAACACACTTACACTTAAGCCTACTTTTATTGGAGTTATATGCATTATAACTCATTAACTGTCAAATTCAAAAGTATCAGCTAGTAGAAATATGTTATGGGCACCCTGTTGTATAAGCTTTGGATTGACATTAGCAAATGGACTAGTAACTCAGCAAGTTTATTGACATGTTTTTCATTTTTTATAATTGCTAGAAGTAATAATTCATTTTGTTTTCCAAATGACTCTACTATGCTGGACTTGAACAACACTTAAAATTGAGTGGTTCTCCTTTGGGAAGGAATGGCTCTAGTTCATTGCTATCTGGACAAGCTATTTTTTATACGTTTTCAGGTGTTTGAGATAGATTGGTGTTTATAAGGGGTTGGTTGCTGTTGTATATGCTTTGGAAGATGCACCTTTTAGATGGTGCAGCAAAAATGTTGACATCTATTTTTAAAAGTTTTATAGATATGCACAGAAATGCAGCTCTTTTATTCTTTTAAGGTGCCATTTATTTATTATATATATATATATTCATTGTTGGACTATACATTAATAGATGAGCAGTTGGGTTTTTATGAATTTTGCATATCTTTCATACTATTTACTGCCATTTGTCTAATGATAGTATAAAATAAAACTTCTTAACCCATTAATTCATTTAAGCTCACACAATATGCTTCAGGCAGTGACCCAGGCATACACATTTGATGTTGCTAAACTTAATTTAGAGTTACAGGTAAAAAAACCTAGGCATTGGCCTTGAGCTTTTACATTTGAATTTCTAGTGGACTTGTTCAAAAGCTATTTGTATGATGGCCCTGGATTGAAAATCGCCCTAACTTAATGTGATCCAATCACTAATTTTCCTGATTGAAGAAATCTGAATTACGACCTTGCCACTGCAATGAATATTTATAACCTCATATCTGGAAAAGGTAGCAAATTGGTTGTATTTGATTGTTTTTTAGTCTCATAGTGGTTTTACATATGGGGACTATACATATAGGTTTACCCTTTGTCTGTCATTCTGTTCATCTAATGAAATCAGATCCTAACATAACTAAAAAAACTACAAAAGTTAGGCTGATGATACTTAGTATATGGATAGAGGATATAATATTGAGATAAAGAACATCATTTTGATTTTTTCATATATCTGTCTTGTCATAAATTTTTGTCTATCCAAAGAAATCAGAAACCTGAAATAACTCAAAGAGTCCATAACTATCATCAATCAAGCTCTTGACAGGATCTTGATTTCTTTAGACAAACAGGCAAACAGACATGCATATTAAGAACCATATAATCATATATAGATTGTGTATGTCATTTTAATCTAAGACAAGTTCTTTAAACTCAATATCCACATAAACATAGGTTGAATATAGGGAACCAGTCAACATGGTACAGTTATCAGCCTGCTGCATTGTCTGTGACAAACTCATGGTTTACTAGTGTCTTAATTTCTTGAAGCAGTATCATATTCCTGGGTTTTGTTCCAATACTAATCAGTGATTTCCAATTTCTCCTTTAAAGTCTTTCCAAAAAGCAGTGGAGAACAAATGGAAGTTTCAGTAATGTGGTCAGCAAAAGTGTCAATGAAACAGGGACCTTAACTTGCAAATCTGTTTGTCATTTCTGCCATTTGATTCAGATTCAGAAAAGTCTCAGGCTCAAACTTTTACATGACACATCTTTCATATTCATACTTTTTAAGGCTATTTTTATGTTTCTTGCATTCTCATTTTAAATAATTAATGGCTCATATAATTTATAAGGAACCTTGTTTATTACTGATAGTTTGTTTTATTTTTGTTTTATTTATTTAGTCTGATGATGAGGCAGATCTTAATACTGTACACCTTACCTCAAAATATGGACAATCCTACCAGTGTAGCTTTCCAAATACTGTAGAACATGAGAAGCAGAAAGAAGAAGCTGAAAAGGTTGCCATGGAGACAGGTATACCAGATTTACTGAAGCCAATGGAAAGTGCACCATGTTTAAGAAAGGTATATTTTCCAACTTTTGTGTGTTGCTTATTTCAGGAGCTACTTAATTTGTTTGGGACCATTGACAGCATAACCTTCAATATGAATATGCATATATTTGTAGAGAAAGAAGTTCAAACGATATAATTGATTGTGTAGTTAAATCAATAAATGGTATCTGAGAAATATCCAAGGATTTAACATACTGTTGTGGCAATTTAAGATTTAAAGGTGTCCCATTATCAAATACATGTAAGTGGGAATTCTTCTTTTTTTTGTCCCCTAGCCATTAATCGTCAAAGGGGCATAATTAAGTTAGTGTTTACCCAGTCTTTGTGCACAAAATATTCTAAAAGTGTTTAGTCCATAACTCCTACATGCATGTGTGAATTTAAAAATAAAATAGTACTCGGGGTCAAAGGGGTACGGCTCATTGAATTGTTCACAAAATATGTATTTGATGATAGAAAACATTTTTCCTAAGTCAGAAATGAATTCTAATTCCATTCCCATTACACTATATACTAATATTATAGTCTATATACATGTATTAGTACAAGAGTAATGGAAGTGGACTTAGAATTTCTTAAAATTTCTACCATCAAATACATATTTTGTGAACATTTAATGAGCCTTACCCCTTTGCTCAGGGTCATCATAATTAGAGAATGAGATGCATACAAGATCAAGGTCCAAAGGTCAAGGTCCTACCGAGCTTATAATTTTGTTGTTATTTGAAAGAATGTTGAATTATTTGGCATAATTATGCCTTCACCATAGTCATATTAAGTATCATACACAAATGACCTATCTCTGCACTATCAATGTCAAGGTCATACTTGGAGGTCAAAGGTTATATCATGTCAGAATGATAACTTTGTCTAAATACATAATGGATTGTCAAAGTATTTGGCATATGTCTTCACCAGAGCCAAACAAAGAGAGAGGAGCAAGACTCGCATTAGCACCTTCAATGTCAAGGTCTTACATGAAGGTACCTTGCTGACTGGCTTATGACTTTATCATAACTTGATTGATTGTCAAAATATTCAACATATTCCTTCACTACAATCAGACAATGTGTCACATGCAAGACCCAGGTCCATAGCTCAAAGGTTAAGGGTATGAATTTAGCGTATTTGTCATACAGTGTTTAGTGCAGCTGGAATTTGTGTCCGGTCAATATATTCTGCCTGCATGATGGGATTTAACCAAAAAAAAAAAAATTCACATGATCACTGTAAGTAGGCGATATGTTGTGCACAAGACTGGATAAACATACTTACGCAAATCTTTGACTTACGCAAATTTTTTTCAATGTGCTAGAAAATAAATTCAAGCATACTCACATGTTTTTAAATCTTATATATTCAATCTTTCATTTGCTCAAAACTTAATTAACATAAAATATAAAAACAAATACTTGCTATGGACATTAAAAGACCAATGGAAATTTTTGCGTTAACTTTAAGAATTTGCGTAAGTATGTTAGTGAAACGGTACCCTGATGTATATTTGAGTACATTTATTTTTAGATATCTTTTACTATTTCTATGCACTCAATTACTTGACGATACTTTTACTTTTTTAGGCATTACAGATTCAACACACATTTCTAAGTGTATGTCATATGACAGGGCATCCGTGTCATATGGACATATTTCTTGTTTAATAAGAAAACTAGGCTGAGATCAGACTTTATTCCACTATCTATCCTTAAAGTGTATGAGTTTTCCTTTTCCATCACAATCCTTCCAAATATAATCCCTGCGATTCCATTTGTGACTGTTGAAAAAAAATCATAACATTGATAAAATCATTCACATTGTCATATCTTACCTTAAACAGAGATTGAAGTCTTCAATAAATATGAAAAAAATACTATGAAGTAACATAAGAAAAATGAGCCGCGTCATGACAAAACCAACATAATGGGTTTGCGACCAGCCTGGATCCAGGCCAGCATGCGCATCCGCGCAGTCTGATCAGGATCCATGCTGTTCCCTTACAGACCCTATAACAAGTTAAGAAACTGATAGCGAACAGCATGGATCCTGATCAGACTGCACAGATGCGCAGGCTGGTCTGGATCCATGCTGGTCGCAAACCCATTATGTTGGTTTTGTCGTGACGCGGCTCAAATACATTGACTGACTACTAGGTTAAATTGTTCAAATAATTTTGATCTGTCAAAAATTGAAAGGATTCAGTTTCCATTTATTATTATGCATATCGAGAGAACAGCTAATCTTCTGAGAAAGTCTAGCAGGAGATAAAGGGCCATAATGGCACTTGTTTCCAAAATCTTCCTGTTAATATTTCAATTTTTACCTTTCCAAAAAGCTGTGCTGCCATGTCAATCAATGTGAAAAATGTGTTGTTATATTAATTATGCACAATGTAGTGTTGTTGTTGTTGTTGTTGTAGACAAAAGATTGGTGGAGCTATGAATTCTGCTATGGAAAACAGATCAAACAGTTTCACATGGCTGAAGGTAAGATATTTATTTAATAGTCATGTTTTAATGAACGATTAAGTTGGGAATTCAAACTTATTCAGAATTCTTTTCCAATTCTTTTACTGTAACTAGATAAAAAGGTCATTTGATAACCTTAATCTTGAGCCTTATGACGGAAACTAAGTATACATTTACCAATGCTACCAGTGCAGACGCAGGTCAGCCAGTGCACCAGTGCTTTATGATCATGGTCTGCACTGTTCACAATTCAGTCAATACATATTTTGGGTGGGGGGGGATTCTAAAAATGGTGAATGGTTTTGTCAGGATTGAAAGATGGATATGTTCATGTAGGATATTTAGTGTGGTAAGAGTTAAATATATAAAATATAAGGTTTGATCTTGAAAGGTTATTTTGGTATTTTATACTTGTAAACTTTAAGATAATCCACAATTAAAAAATGTTGCTATTAACATCATAGCATTTTTAAACCCTTAATGAATTAAATGTATGTGAAAATGAATGAGAAACACTGTTACTTGTACTCAAAATTTAACATTTTTCAGATGGTAGAATAGAAGGGGAGATAATTTTGCTTGGGCATTTTGAATCAGAGTATAACTGGGATGAAGATTCTAATAAGGTAAGCGGCAGTGATCTCCCTTGAAGGATGTTACAATAGCTAACATAGTGTGTTTTGTCAGTATTTTGCACCATTTTAAAGAGATTCACCAATCTGAAGGGTTCATTCAAACTAATTTATGTAAGATTTTCCAGTAATATGGGAAGTTCATGGTCACATGGGTAGATTCCAAGGATTAAACTCACTTTTAACTTTGATGGAGCAGAAATTTGCAGAAATCATGATCACGAAATAGAAAATTATCGCTTTTTTTGTCAAATTTTACATTTTTCATTCATTATAGTATATAAATTGGTGTGAAAAGATAAATTAGATGTTTTAAAGTGCATTTTGGTGTGGTGAAAAGCCGAGTTTTTAGCATTTAATCATTCAAGCGCTTTATCCGGTACATACCGGAATACAGTATTTACTTGTGGTGCACCAACACTTTTTTAGTCTCAGTCAGATTCAAAGCTAAGAAACTTTACATTCATTGCTTAGTACTGGTTGGTTCCAGGAACGGAGAGTGTTTCAATAAGCTTCCAACGCAATCAAACTAAAATAAATTTGTATAAACTAAAGCTAAGAAGTAATGTTTTTTTCTGTATGTAAGATTTTACAAAACAGGTTATTATATTTAATCTTTATTATGTTTCAAAAAGTTTAGAATACATAAGATATACAAACATACATAATTATATGTATATATAAAAATCAAATGTTATAATTTATATACTGGTAATGCTTAGCTATAAAATATGTGATTAAAATTTAAACTATTTTTTTTCTATTGAAATGTTTTTATTAATGGTTTATGAAAATGACATTGAATCATTGATTTAACATATTTATCATTTTAAAACAAATTTTGATAATTCTTATATATTAAGATGAAAAATAGTTAACCCCTGTACAGAATTAGAATATAAAATAGTTGTGTCTATAAATATAGTAACATTTGGGAAATAAAATAATGAGACAAAAAATATGACAATTACAAAGAGAAGTGTTAAAATATGAAATTAACATCTACTATAAAATTAACATTTTCAAAGTGATAGATATAAATAGCATATAAGATTGATATAAGTTTTGTCCAGTGTTTTACAACATGCACATTGATACAGAAATGCAGTTCATAAGGCCAGACCTCACCCCTACAGTTTAAGAAACCTGTTAGAGGGTATTGAATATTTACTTTTATTTAGAAATTTAATTAAAGACATTTTTGGGTCCTTTTTTTCTCTCATCATATTCTAATAACATGCCAAGTTTAAAGAAAATCTGTTGAACAGTTTTAATTCTGCCGTATGTCTATATGAAAACTCCCAAAAAACATCCTTAAAGACAAAATTTAAATTATGGACTTTGAAGGAAAAACAGTACCTGGTGACCTTTATGTAGTTTTCTCAGGTATAACACTGTACCTGTTAAAGCTGTACATTAGCCAACTAGAGGTTTTTCCGGAACAAAGATTACCCTCACTTACACATATTCAAGTGATTGTTGATTTACCCATTAATTGTTTGTTTATACATCCATCAATGCATCATTATTAAGTGGTCAATCAATTACATGGATATTGTTGTAAATAAACAGTCTATTTATAAGTAAAACTAATAGTAGCTACATATCCTAGAAAATACCTGAACCAGGTTTTGGGTCAATTACGTACCAAATGACAAGTTTAGATGTACCATGTACCGTTTACATGAATCAGGGGTGTGGAATTCCCATGCCCGACTTGTCCGACTCGGGACTTTATGCCTGCGGACAAGTAGATTTTTCAGTAGAACTTGTCCGTGGACAAGTGAAAATCGGAGCCAGTAGGAAAAACAAAATACTGTATTTTTGTCGCTTATCAATGGGGAACATTTATTGTAGTAAGTAAAGTAATGATTCTTGGTTAACTATGACGAAATACACTTTTTTATATCAATCATTCCAACCCATGGAAGAACTCTTGAAGGAAAGCAGGCTCCTTGATACATGCAGGCCATATGGAGGCAACCACTATGTAAAGTAAATTTTAAAATGCACATTTGGTAAAAATTGTAAAGTTGTTTTGGTTAAAAAATTTTCAAAAGGATAATTGTTTGGACATCATTTATAAAAGTTGTAGATTGTTTCCTCAAACTACAGAAATGATGTCTGGTCTATTCTCAGCAAATCCGTTCACATCTTACTATATGAAAGGACACTGTTACCTCCAATTAACTTTTGTTTTAACACATGGCCAATGTTTTGTAGTTTTATATGGGCAAGTACATTAAGCTGCGGACAAGTAAAAATTTCTGGAAAACTTGTCCGTGGGCAAGTGGCAAAATTTCATATTTCCACACCCCTGAATGATATTGTCACCTTAGTGCAGTAATGGGTTTTCTCCTATTAAATAATATAAGGAGTTAACCCGTTACCGCTCTTAGATGACGATATATTAATATAACAATGATAGGATATAATTATATAACTTTATATACAATATGAGCACTGGGTATAAACCCTCTTTTACTTGCATAGCATATTATATACAGTATACTAGTATCTACATCTTTCATCTTCATCATCATTGTATCACATTGTGTGTCCGTGCTAAATCTTGGAACCAGGCATCTGATTGTATAAAGGCAACTTTATTATTTACTGATCTTGTCACATGACAGGTGGCTATTTTTAGTATATCACTGATCAGAATCACTCAAAGAATAGACAGACTCCACCCAGACAATAACTTTAACCATTTCATTCACTTACTTGAGGTCAGAAATGGTAGTTGTTGGATTTTTTCATCAGCAAATAAATAATTTGTGTAATAAAGTTGATGTTAGATAAAAAAAAATCATTTCCTCAAGGTTGTTGTACATGTATCTTAGTTTTAGTGCCAAATAGTTAGAATTTCTCATAGTGTTAGAATATTTCTCTCCATATTCTTAATTCAATACCTGAGAATTTAATTTGTTGTTAGGGTCATTTTGTAAATAAGAATAGGCACATTATTTTGTATACATATATATCATAATCAAGTGTTAATCTGTAGGAATATTTTGTTTGATTTATAGCAAGTTTTGGTTATGAATCTTGACTTGAGGTGCTGATCAGCATAGATCTCATAAGCCCCTGGACGGTTCCATTGTGTTGTATCCTGTACTTAATGACCTTGCCAATGATCTGATCACTGATATAGAGTATGTTATCCTCCTTGTTGAAACATAAGGCAACAGGGTTGCTGGACGTCTTTTTATAGATCATACGGTAACGCCGTAGATCCGGCTTGATCACTTCAATAAAGGAGGTCATCGAACCACCACATACATAAATGTTGCCAAATCTGTCACTTGTTATTCCTACTGGAAGTGAAAGGTCTGTCTGCAAATATTAGAAATTATATTTAGATTTATAAGTTTTAATTATGATATTATTAATTTGCTCTTCTTTTTTCTTCATTAAAAAATGAAGAATGAAAGAACATTAGCTTTAAGAATCTTACACAGACTGCCAATGCAGCCTGAAATATCTGGCTAATGGGCAACTATTTAAAGAGGTTACAAGGATGTTGATCACTACACAGTTACATACTCGAGAGCCAGATATTTCTGTTTGTGGCAATAGCCAATTTTCTATTCTTATCCTTCATATAAAATATTACTAGTAATCATATTCATAGGTTGAAAAAATGACAAAATAATGTTTTTAGCCCTGTTTTTATACAGCTGTATAGGAAAAAATAACTTCATTCATAATGGCTGAATGCTGCCAACCTATTCATGTTACCATTTTAAAACAAGCAAAATTTAAAACATTATGGCTCATCTTACTCCTTGGATAGTGAGATAACATTTACCAATACCTGAGTATAAACACTCAAAAATCTAGTGTAATAATAACTAAATACGAAAATATGTAATAATGAAACATGTTTCCTAAAATTTTAAGCTGAAGTTAAACAGTTTGTTATATATTACAAATTTGACATGTACACCAACCTTGTGACGATATTGAAATGTTCCATCATGTTTCAGCATTAAAACCTCGTTCTCTAGTCTGTTGGTAATGTACAACCCATGGTCATTGGCAAGTAGGTTACAATCTTTATGTCCTGGTGAGAATGAACGCAGTGTTTTCATTTCATCTGTATTTTTATTGATATTAACTCTCTTGATTTCCCATTCATCATGCTCAGTGAAGTTGTGAGCTCGAATCCTTTGAAGCATATAAATCCGGTGATGATGGTGAGTGATTGAATAAAATTCACCCTCAACTGGATGGGTTCGTTCACGATTTATTTTGTTGGTATCACTATCAATGTGATAGAATTGCAATTTCCTTGTACCAGGCAGTGTTGCTGCAAGTGTTTCTTCAAACACTGCTGCTAATCCACAATACTTTGATGTGATACTTATTTTATCTAAAGGATTAAAGTCTTTGTCAAAAAGCTTAAGGCACCGATTTTTCCTATCGAACAGCACAAGTTTCTTGTCTGGCATAATAGTCATTGTTTTTATGTAACTTCGTTTTGAGTCGCCTTCAATTCCTGTTGAAATTTGCGCAACTTTAACCTTTGAAAAGTTCTCAAATGGTTTCGCTTTTTGTTGTTTATAAATCTCTTGTTGTTCCAATAGGTGGTTACTTTTCTTCCCTTCATTATCCTCGGACATTTTTCTCAGGTAATTTAAAGGAGTAGACCTGCCTGTGTCAGTGCTAGATGTGACACCTGATGGACTGCTTAACTCACTTTTGTTACTGTTCCATGCATCTTTAGATGTTTCAGTTGTACTTTCACTCATATGATGAGTGAAAACTTCATTGCCATCTTCATTTGTGACAAGAATCTTAATGTCTGGTTTTGTAGTGTTTATAGTCTCCTCAGAAGAATCCTGTTTTGCTTTAGATTTTTTCTTCATTGCAGCTTTGTCTTTACTTAGTTTTCCAGATGTTTCGATGTTTGGATATATTTCAAGATTTAGTTCTTTTAATTGCATATCGTGTCCATTTACTCTTCGAGTGTACAACTTTGGCTTTGCACCATTGTAGTCAGATCGATTATTCTCACCAATATCAAAAGAGTTATCCTCCTGTAGTAGAAGAGCAGTATCAGTTTCATTTTCATCAACAAATAATTTCTTATCCCCACCATCAGTAGTGTCGATATTCCTTTGTACATTTCTATTCTCCTTTCCCACCCCTGGGGATCTTTGTTTCTTTCCCTTAGACCTTAAATCTGATTTACTGCCTGAATTAACCAGCTTTGATTTATCACTTACATTATCCTTTGCTTCATTTTGTTCTGTAACTATGTCCTCTTTCTTTTCAGATTCAGCAGTTGTATCCAGTTTTACATTGTCCCCATAGATTGAGACTGATTCCTCTTCATTTGCATGTTCTGCATTTTCTATATCCAAATTAACACTTTCCTGACTTTTTCTCTTAATGTCCTTATTCTCGGTATCTTTGTTCATTTTAATGTTACTTTCCTTTGTCATGCTGTATTGTTTTGGTTTATAAAGTTGAGATGTTTCTGCTAAGTCAAGTTCTTCCCCTACTTTATGTTCTTGCTCTTCCAGTTTATGCCTTTCATCTTTGGACTCTGTAATTAGCTGTGCCCTCTCTTCTCTAAGTTCTTGTAAAACTTTCTGTTTTTCTTGTTCTTTGAGGACTTGTTGTAGTCTAGCAGTGTCTTTCTCTGTCTGGTTTTCCCTTTCCTTGATTGGATAAAGCTCTTTCTTATTTTCCTGTCTCTCCTGCCTCAACTCCTTCACAAGTTCCTCGTTTGGATCAATCATCAGTCTCTCTCCTATAAGTGTGTTTTTCTTTCTTTTCTTTGCTTTTTGACAAGTTTCCTCTTCAGAATTGATCAATTCTTCATCAGTTATGTCATCAATGTATGAAATGTCCTCTAAGTCAACAAGAACACTCGCCATAGGTTCTATATTCTGGTGGATCTCGCTGGTAAAATACAGAAGTCTGTGGAAAAAAGACAAGAAATAATATTATTTCAAGGGAAGATTTTATAGATAAAAAGACTTTAAGTACTTTTTATGTTAAGTCAAGTTTTAACAAACAACTCAGAATGTTGTTTTTATAAATTCAATTTGATTCTTTATTATAAGCCTTTCTAAAAAATAGTGCATTGTTTGAAGCTGAAGTAAATGGTAATATAATTACTAAGGCTATATAAAGCACCAGTAGTTATTCATAAGGCATTTTAGCAAGGTTGATGCCTTTAAGAACTACTTGCCCCTCTCTGCTTTAGGTTTGAATCCCATCAGGCACCGAACTTCAGATTTTTTCAAAGTAAGAAGCTTTCAAACTAGTTTTTGGAATGTTGGTGGTTCTGGTGCCTGCTCATGGTGCCTTAAATAATGCACATGCAGAGCTAGAGGCTCCTGAGGTCTTCCTTTACCAGTAAAGCTGAAAAGTCACCATATAACCTACCGGTATACACTGTCTATGTGACAAATAATCCAACCAAAAGAAAAAAAATAAAATGAAAAAGAAAACAAAATGAAAAAAAAGAGGAGAAAACATGACAAAAAAATCATGAAATATCACACAAAAAATGCCCTCAAAATTAATTATTACCATTTCCATTGAAACAATATATAGAATATTGAATAAATGTTAATTTCTCACTTACTTATAGCATAGAATTATTTTACTTAACTGATTCCACATCTGTCATTCTTATACTTTTATTCCAATGTTCCATAATTAAAATATAATTGATCATTCTTTATTTTAAGTTAGAAAAAGAACAATATTTAAATCACAAATCACGTTTTAAAGACAGATCTCCAAATTCATTATTTTTCTGTGAAATCAAAACTGCCTCCCAGTGTGTGTATTATATAAATGATGAAATCTGAACTTTTTCTGTAAAACCCAACTTAGTTGATGAGCTAGAAATAAATTTTATGATATCAATAAAACAAAGTGCATACAGGTAATGATTATAAAAGCCTGTTGTTTTAAATTGGTATTTTGTCAATTTTATAATATCCATAATGTTATAATTGTTTTACGTACATCACTGAGGCAGAATATGACGTCTTTTAAGATATATTTACAATAAAAATTGCAAGTTTTATACTGTATATAGCAGTTTTATCACAGAGACAGGAATAATAACCATTATTCAAATACTGCACACATATTAATTGTACTATATCATTTATAAAGGTGACATCTAGGAATACAAATTTAAATGAGGTTGACAACTGCTGACATATTGTAAAACCAATAAAACTTCCAGTAGACAATATCACACAGACAAAAGTCTGAACAAAATACTTTCCAGGTATATCAGTATTTAGATTAACATTTAAGAATATTGTAAAGAAGAAAATGAGAAAATCCAGCATATTTATCTATTTATTTTTTATTTTTTGAGGGATTGGGGGATGGCAGATTCTGGCAGCTGATGTCACTGGCACATAATACTGGTGATAAAAGCAAATCATAAATGCCATTTAAAGTATTAAAGGGAAAAAATCATAATATTGTGGCAACAAACTATTCAAATATGCACAAATTAAAGGGATTGCATTGGGGTTTTTTTGACATGACAGAACTGGAAATATTTTTTCAAGACTTGTTTACCATTGTATTTAGATCTGGGCTAATAACTTACGGTATCTGCAAAATTTCAGATCTTTCCCTTGCTGAATTTTCTCAGAATATTCATTTTTATTGTTAAAATGACCCAAAAATGAAAAGCAATGAAACTTTTTTACTCAAACTGAACTAAGAATCATATTTATTTTCTATTTAAGTCGTAGTTTATTTCTTTATTAACTTTTGCAGAGTTTTTCTATTTTAAGTGTATCACTTGATGTATGAGAACATTTTTAATTTTATGTTTTTAGGCTTTTTGACTTCAGCTTGGAGCTCCTTTAAATTTTCATCATACAAATGTAGTTTTATACTTGATATTTGATTTAAAAAATTTTTTTTTTTAAATTGTCTTTTAAATGTCATTTGAAACAAAGAGGCTCAGCAGATTTTTATACTTAAACAAAATTTTGGAAATTTTTCAATCAGTAAAAAATAAAAAGAATCAACTGAAGTTTTTACCTGTAACTATATATTCACAAACACAAGATAAATCCTCAAATGCTTTAGAATATTTTAATGTTCCTTTTAATATAATTTCTCAGGGAAATAAATTGTCTTTATGTAAGTTTACAAAACTCTATTAATTAACTTCTCATAATAAATTCCCTGTTTGCCAGAGCATGGCTGTAAGGTATGTAACGCAAAACACTGACAAAAACCATTACTGCCTGTGTTTAGTCACACAATATCCACTATGCCTGTCACAAAAATTTGGTTCATAAAATATTTTGTTAATGATACTTCTTAAGTTTTATAAATATTCTGTTTTGTACGTCCTTCTTGTAACATAGCTAAAAAATCTTTGTTTTAGGTCATTTTTGTAAATCAAAATGTTTTTTATTTGGTTATAAAATAAAGTATATGTTAGTGTTCATTAGTTAGCATTTACAAGATTAATTTAGTCATAAGCAGCACAATTTTATTTGGTAAATGCTTACTAAAGAACATTAACAAATGGTGCATAGAACTTATTTAAAGGTTACTAAGCTGATTCGCCATAGAAAATGTGTTAAGATTCATTTGAAATGCTGCAATCCTATTGGACAACAAAATAATTTCAAAGCCCATTTTTACTGGCATGATTGTTGCTGGTCTAATTACCTCCCTATGAATAATAACAGGTATGGCCCCAATGATATGATATTTGATTTTAAATAACATCCATAAATCTCAAATGTGACCTGGGTTTATGAGTGAGTTCTTCAACAGTGTCCAGGGTGGAGATTTGGGGCATATTTCCTGCTTTAAGTGCTTGGTATTTTTACTGCTTGGCAGGCCAATGTGGATAAAACTTGGTGTGGACTAGATCAACAGTGTTGATTGTAACAGAAGTTTGTATTTTCTATTTAGGCAGCCTTAAATATTACTAATAATTCCCAGTTATGCTGAACATTTGAAAACAATTCTTGTACTGAAAATTTGAATAAAACATTTTAGTTAGGGTCATATACTAATTAAGGAATCTATCCATTATAACCTATAGGGTATGAATATTTGTGCATTAAATTAAATGTCACAAGAAATCCATTCACTGTTTCAGTATTTGGCTTGGCCTTAGTTTATTTTTGATTAAAATATTTCTGATTGATTTTTATCCGTTTATTTGTCTGTATCTAATCTTGATGTTATCATAAAGCTACTGTCTTCTGGGAATACAATGGTCTTTTGTTTGTGTTTATAATTTGCCCCACATTATTTACTCTATTAAAACATTTATAGTATTTAATTGCATATTTGATACAAATAGAGCATTAAAATGGTGTCATTATAACAATTTGAAAATGTCAGTCAGAGATATTGAAATTTGCTCATAATTGATTAATCATGGCAGATATACAATACATTTGTATATGATTGATAAACGGAAGTTGAAATTAAAATATGGTTTTAAAATACAATAACACGATAAAGGTCATAAAAAGTGACTTTCAAGCTTTATTTGAGGTGTTCTTACAGGCTCAATTTTGTAAGGCAGGTGGAAATTGAGTGGAATCACAATAGATTGTAACCTGCTTCACACGAAATTCAACATTTTCAACCAAAGGTTATCAAGAGCAAGTGGTTTGAAGTCAGTGACAGCCATTTTATAAAATATTTATGAATGTAAGTTAAAAACATGCAGTCATTTGAAGTCATATTTCAGAAAACTCATTTGATTAAATGTAACTATATATATGTGATTCAACAACTCGGTCGTTGATGAAATGAATAATCTTGTTGGGTATAAATTAATTATGTGATCCATGAACAATTTTTGAATGGTATTTACCCAAGCCCCACCAGACATCCTGGACTTGTTTGGGAGATTTATACTGCTTGACATAGCATCATAATGTCTGGTTAACATCAGGTTTTGTTTAGGTACCATGAAAGATATGTCCTGCTGGCACTACGGGGCATTTAGACTGTGTTTTGTCATTTGACAGTCTTCTCAGGGCACAGCATTCATCAGGGTTGTGAAAATCCATGCATAATTCCCCAGCGATTGAATTAGTTAAAATGAGCTGATTCATAAAAAGGCAGGTGTTAATAACAGGTGAATCTGATTAATCTAATCAATTAGGGATTAATCAAGAATAAGTATAGATAGTTAATCAGTAAGGTAACCATCATATAGAAGAGTGATTAATTAAATTAGATGGATGTTAGTGATTGATCAAGACAGACAAAGATAGGTGTTAATTCAAGGTGTAAAGCTACTAAGTGGAGTACAGTTTATAAAGGTATGGAATATAATTCTATATATAGATAATTCACTTATCTTGGATATTTTGCCTGTCATTATATGACTAATAGACTGTACAGAGCAGGTGCTAATATAGTTTTAAGGACAATATTTGATATGATAAATAGTTCTGCAATTGTTGTGTCTTGTGGAAATCTCTGGTGCAAGATTTGTCACAGCATAATTGATATTGAAGCATAATAAATCTTTTTTTTTACCCTGCTAGAGCCAAAAGTGGTTTAAGCCATGACTATTTGATTTAGATCTTGGCTAATATCTTGTGTGCAAAATTTCAGATTTTTCCCTCGTTCAATTTTCCCAGAATAATCATATTTATTGTGCATTATGACACAAAAAATGAAAAGCATCGCAATGCTTTTCACTCAAACCGAGCAAAAAGCAATACCATATTGTAAAATAGACATAACTGTTCTGGTTTTTTGTTTGAAACTGTCCGTTGTCATTTTAAAGGGCCTCCACTGAGGTTTAAAAGCCTAAAAACATAACATTAGAATTTCTTACATAAATGAACTGGGGGGCTTCTCTACACCTACATCAAATGGTACATTTATCTGGAAAAAAATATTTTCAGTCCCATGATGTCAAAAAACCTCAGTGGAGTCCCTTCAAGGGATTTTTCTATCCCATTATGCAGCAAAAAGTTAATTTGCAGACCCATCATGTGCAACCTTACTATGTGGAATGGGTAAATCATTCTTTTACAGAGCATTGTTTAACATAAGTTTGGCTTGCAAAATTTGATTTAATCTTAAAATGACTAGATCCGATAAATATAAATTGTTATCAATCAAATTTTTTTTTCTCACCCAGTTTTTATAATTCCATTAAAGCAACTATATATTTAAAAAAAATCGTATCTTTTCAGTTTTTAAGTACAATTTATTACATGTTTTGCAGTAGATTACTGAATTATAACGGTTAATTATATTCTGATAATTTCACAGTAATGATTACCAAATATAATTTCACAGTAGCCGAACTATATTTGGCGTAAAATAAAATATTTATCATTAATGAATGTTTTTTTTCAGCGGAAATGTAGTCAATCATATAAAAAAAATGTACGTGATAACTGTAGTTCGTAAATATTTACGAACGTTGTGCTGAAAAAACATCTAAAATCTAAAAATAATCATGGAATTATATTTTGCTTCAACATTGTGACGTCATTATTTGATGACGTCATGAAGATAAGAGCATGACGTTACGCGGCAAAAATTCAGTAAAATGGTGTAAAAATCGTTAAAAAAATCATGAAATAAAACAGAAAATTTGTTTGTTTTACATGTAAGATCAAATAATATTTCATTCGTGAACCCCAGCTATTATATTTTCACTCGTGGCTACGCCACTCGTGGAAAATATTGCATCTGGTGTTCACTCGGTGAAATATTTTTCGATCTTACACTGAAACAAACAAATATCCTCTATGTATTCTTTTAGAAAGTATGAACATGAAAATGTTAAAAATGATTCATAAAGTCTTTAGGAAAATATTACTGAATGATACATGTATTCTAAAATGAGATATTTATGGAACACCCACACATAGATTTATCTGATATTGTTTTAAATTATATATTTTTATGATGAATCTATATATTCAATTTTCATCCAGAAATAGAAAAAAAAACTATTTGACAATTTTATGTTAATAATATAAATCCTAGGTTAAAACTCATTTTAATAATTAATAACAACTGTCATCTGGCCAGTATAAAGGCCGAATGAAAGTAAATTATATACATTTGCTTAATTTCATTTTTTAACATCACACATTCTTGTAAATATAAATCCATTAATAACATTCTGTAATGTTTAAAATATAATAAAAATATCTGTTTACCATGTTTAGATCCTCCTTTAGTCTTAAAACACACCTGCAAATTTTTGTATAAGAATTTTCCAATGTTTCCACCTAGTTGTTGAAAACTTCCATGAAAAGTATTGTCACTGTAAAACTGAAAATGAGTCAAACTCATTAATAATTTACAAAGTCAATAACTTTTAATAATCCATGCCTCGTGTCATATGCCGTAGAGAGTTGTACGGTTATAGGTCCTTGAAATGAATTTTTCATAATTAATAAGCACTATAATGATACATGGTATTGTAAAGGTGTTGAGTCTCACAAGAATTGCCTGTTCACATACCTGTATCTCACAGGTTATCCGGACAGATAATAATAATCTGTCCGAGGTTCCTGTTTTCCCTGTTTAGGAACTGACATCATTGACTTGTATGACAAATTAATGAAAGTACCATGACAAAACCCTCAGACAATACATTGAGTAGTATAGAATTATGGATCTTTTTTTTTTGAAGCTGTGTTTTAGTTTTAGCTTGATTTGTCTATAAGTTCATACTAGTTTAAGCTCAAATTAATGCTAAATTTTGAGCTTTATTCAACAATATGCTATAGTTATTTTGTATTATTTTTTTTAAGGGAAATTATGGAAAATTTGTTTAGACTGTTTTAAATTGAGTTTGACAAGTAGTTAGTATTTTATACTTTTAATATATTGTGTATTATATTGTAGTCATTTGAATTGGTAAACTCATTAGTTTCCCCTTTACTAATTTATACATTTTATCTTGATAGGTTGTTTAATATATTGCTATGATACTTTATTTTGCATATTTAGCTTAGTATTCAAACTTGTTTATTTGAGCTTGATAAGTCGTTAGTCTGTATTATAAGTTATATATATAATAACGGCTCTGGTTATATAGCAAACAATTGTTTATATTTGGCTATATAATTTGTCAGGAATTTTCAAAACGAATTTATAATATATTGCAAGCTTCCGTTTTTAGAGAAAAAAGTGAGATTTCTTCATAGATTGACTGTAGCCATGTATAAAACTATATAAACGTCAAGATTATCCAGCAGAAAGCAACATTACAAAAGTGCAGTATTATAAATATATATATAATTATTAACTATTTTATATGAGCTGAATGATTTAAACTGTGAATTATTTATGAATTGATATTCATGATATGTGAATCATTATATTAATTATTCTTAGGCAGTTACTAGTAAAGCCTGTAAAGCTACAGAACCTACATATCCGACCAGTACAAACCCAAGATCAGCCAGAATGTCCTTGCAATCTGATCATGGTCTGCACTGTTTGCTATTCAGTCAGTACATTTTTTTTCAATTTTCTATTAAAAAAAAAATAGATGGGTCCAGATTCCAAAGTGAAAGAAAGAAAAGTCCATTTGAGATATTAGCCGTTAGTATATAGTTAGAATAAAGCCAACCAAATATGAATAAGGCTTACAATGATAGGAATCTGATATATTATAAATTGAAAACAAAATTTTTTTTTTCAATTGATGCCCTTTTCAAAACTGTTAAATTGATGGCCTGAAAATTGAACAGATTCCCTGAACTATAGCAGCATGTTAAGTATCTAGAGTACTCATTATCCAATAATGTGTATATCATTTTCAAACAATGTTTGAACAGATATGGTACCACAATTTTAAAACCATTATCAGGAATCATCAATCAATACTTTGGTATAATGGAACAAAACTGGTATATGGTTAGGGTTTAATTTATTTATATCTTCCTTTACAAGTAGATTTACAATGAGGTTGTATCAAATTTCTAACCAGGACTTGTGATGGAACTGTTGAAAAGAATACTTCATTGTTAAATAAATTGTCATTGACTACTCTTTCATTCTTTATTCTATACTAATAATATTTGTCATAATTATGTTGTAGTTCAGATCAGAATATCCAATCCAAGACAAACACATGTCAGATATTTTTTCTTGCATATTCTACCATATTCCATCATATTTTAAATTCTTTACCTTAATAAAACAATTTTCCATGGAAATTTATGTCATTACATCCGTAACTATTTTCTTACAACAGCGTATGAAATTACAACTTTATTCATAATGGCAAAATTTCGTCTTCCTGAAGCATGTCATTGTGTAGCACGCAACTCATCATTCTGGCACCCCCCCCCCCCCCACCATACCAGATGAAATTTCGGGCATAGGTTAAACTAACGGAAACACCAGTCAGATATGAAGTATTGCAAATTACTTAGAATTTTAAAGCCTCTATAGCGCCTCTATCAAATGCATCTTGATATATATTTTTGAAAAAAAAAAAAACTATAATACACTAGCTGCCAACTGGTTATAATGCGCCCCATGATAATGCTTGACCTCATTATAATTTCTTGAGGGGTGGGGTAATAGTTTTTATACCAATTGCTAACAGACTTAGTATTTGAGAGATAAAATTGATAGCATTTCTGAGGCATCATAATGAGCCTTTAAACAAGTTATAAGCAGGTGAATGGTTAAGATTTTTTTGCAGGTTCATTCATGTAGCCAACTGTTGTTTTGTTGTTGCATACTGGTCAGACATTGTCAGAATCACAGAGTACTCCATTCAGTATAATAGTAGATAAATAAACGTATCTGACAGCAAATAAACATATCTGATAACTGCATCAAAGTCAATTAGTTCTTAATTAGTGTATAATGCATTAGTATAGAGCAGAAGGTAGCATGTTTAATGTTGTGTAAAAATTATTTACTTTGTCCCATATTTTCTGTTTGCATAAAGAGATGATAGCAGGTAGCTTCAAAGAATTTGATAAAATTTTCTCTCCAGGAAAAGTTCTGTTCATTAGCTATATGGACTATATAATATTGGGTATAGTTCAATTACTGTATTCCATAGCATGCTGTTACACCTTTTGAGTTTGCTATAATGCCACAATCTCAGGTGTGGATTCAAGATTATTTTTTTTACCAGAGGGGTTCACAATTTAGACAAGGGGCAAATTGCATATTCCAAAGGGTATTGACAATTTTCTAATTTTCCAGGTTGAGTTTCCTGATTTTTACCTGTATTTGTCTGGTTTTCATAAAAGTTAATTGATGTACAAATGTGAGAGAGGTTTCAAAATACTAGCAAAATCCCAGGGAGTGATCATGACCCCTAAACCCTAATATTATGCCCCCTCCCCCTGAGGAACTGCGCATGAAATCTTTGTCATTCTTGGCTATTATAGTATTTTGCTTTTGAAATCTCTCTTACTAACAACTTATAAGTTAAAAAATTGTCTCATATGCCCATTTCATGTTATATGCTTCTGGATTATGTCATGGTTCAGAAATTAAAGTTAATATAGTATTCATATTTATAGTTGATGTACTTGCGGCCATCAGACCTCAAAAGCCCCCCCAAAAAAATTATTTAGCATTATGATAGATTATGCACAAAGCATTTGAAACAATGGCCCTGCCGATCCCTAGGAAAGTTTTTGGGGAAATGAGCGTGGTTTATTTTCTTTTGTCCTTGTCCTGTCTCAAAATGGCTGGGTCAATTCGATGGTTTTATTTTGGTGTCAAGATAATAGCAGGGGAAATGTAAAAGCAGTATGGGGCATGAAGCTGGAGTTTATGCTCTGACAGTCCAAAAAGGACAAAGGCTTTTACCCAAACCAATTAGCCAGTTGTGAGAAGAGCACTGTCCAGGTAGTCGGGATTGAACAGAATTGAACACTATTACAGTATGCATAATATATACCATAAAAGGAATCGCTGTTAAATCCTACTTTGTACTGCTTTCTTATGAATAAGACATCAAGGTCATTTACAGAAGTTTGATAATTTCATCCAGGTGGCTTGTTATACCTGATATAATGCATGGAGAGTCATCTCCGTCAATGAAAGCTAGAAGCTGTCAAAATATTATTTTGTATACTGTTTTCGAACTATAACATTAGGCTACCTGCTTGATTAACAATAGCTAATGATAGACAAACCACTTCTAGATAGGAAAGGCATGTTTAAGTGCGCATGTTAGTGTGGTCAATATACAATTTAGATAATTATCACCTATGAAAAAAAGTCCCTTGCACCCCTTGTATTTATATTTTATAATGCATAGGGCGATATGAGTATTCTAAATAAAGGTCAAACAATGTGATATATAAAAGTAATAATGGGTCTATTTCAGTTATGCTTTGAGAAACAAGCTTTTATTTGTGGTAATTTTATAGTTTAACCTTATTGTAAAAACAAAACATAGCAAATGACAATGAGAGTCAATTTACAGAGTGAAATATGACAATGTCAAAATCAACATTGATAACAGACAATGAGAAAGCTGTAGAAATGCTGGGTAACAATATTGATCAGGTAGAGGGTTATCGAGGGAAGTTTCACGGAAAGGTTAATGAATTAATGGCCATGTGTCAATGCTGTGTAAAAGAATTGTTTACTATAAGCAGGGAGGTGGCCATGTCCCTGGTGACATTCGAGACACACGTCACGCTAGAAATAAAAGTTTGCATAATGCATGAGAAAGCTACAATATAGTACTCTTGAACTTGAAGTTGTAAACACGTATTGACTGTCATTTGGGTGTTGTATTTTCAGAAGTTTATTGTTACTATTTATAACTCTCTTGATCTGAAGTATCAGGATGAAATAGCAGTATGGTAGAGGTATATCAGTATGGTAGGGGTATATCAGTATGGTAGGAGTATAGCAGTATGGTAGGGGAATATCAGTATGGTAGGGGGTATATCAGTATGGCAGGGGTATATCAGTATGGTAGGGGTATATAGCAGTATGGTAGGGGTGTAAGCAGTATGGTAGGGGTATATAGCAGTATGGTTGGGGTATATCAGTATGGTAGGGGTATATCAGTATGGTAGGGGTATATAGCAGTATGGTAGGGGTATATCATTATGGTAGGGATATATCAGTATGGGTAAGGATATAGCAGTATGGTAGGGATATATCAGTATGGTAGGGATATATCAGTATGGTAGGGGTATATCAGTATGGTAGGGGAATATCAGTATGGTAGGGATATAGCAGTATGGTAGGGGTATATCAGTATGGTAGGGGTATATCAGTATGGTAGGGATATATCAGTATGGTAGGGATATAGCAGTATGGTAGGGGTATATCAGTATGGTAGGGATATATCAGTGGTAGGGATATATCAGTATGGTAGGTGTATATCAGTATGGTAGGGATATATCAGTATGGTAGGGGTTTATATCAATATGGTAGGGGAATATCAATATGGTAGGGGTATATCAGTATGGTAGGGGTATATCAGTATGGTAGGGGTATTCTCAATCAATTTCCATTCAGTGTCAACAAATTCCCTGCTCAGATATATTTCAAGTTTACTGAACAACATTATTGTAACATTCTTACTGCAATTTGCATATATTACACCATTTGCCTTTTTTTTAAAAAGTCACCAAAGCTACAAATAAGGAAACATTAAAACACTAGTGGATAAACAAATAGATCATCAATGCTGAAGCTCAAGAAAAAAATCTTCTGATGACTTAGTAATGAACAAATCTTGTGGATTATCCCCAACTTAAAAAAAAACAAATCAAAACAAAGTAATTTGATATGATTGTAAATCCATAATCACTAGGTTTCAGCATTAGACAAGCATGAATGAATATGCAAATTTTAGGAAAGTTTATCCAATGAAGTTACAGTCTGAAAGTATTGTCTGTAAAACAAATAGTAGACCAAAAATTCTAATAATATTGGTATTTTTAACCTGTTGTCAACAATAGAATATTATGCAACCTGAGATAAAAGGTAAAAAAATTTCCATAGGGTTATTAGTATTTTTGTGATCAATTTGTTTTGAATTCTGGCCAGCTTCAGTACATTTAAGTGATGCAATGAACTGTCACTGCAGATAAATGAGATCATCTCCTGGTCATATTAAATTGTATTTTTATTGTACAGTTTTTATTTCTTTGATATTTCTGACTGATAAAAATAGTTTATACAATATATTTTAGTTTGATTGTGTTGGAAGCTATAAGCTTATTGAAACACTCTCGAATTCATTCTTGGAACGAACCAGTACTTGAAGTTATTAGTCTAAAGTTTCTTGCTCAAGGAAATAACGGCTTTTCTCTTACGGGGTTTGAACCCTTACAGTCAGAAATCTTTAGACTACTAGTCTGACGTGTTAACAACTGGGCCATGCCGCCACTTATTAAGTTAATCATTAGATGTAACAAAATAGGCCATGAGATCGATAAAATAATTATTTGATCTTATAAAATTGGCTTTGAGATAGATAAAACATAATAAAATTGGCCATGAGATAGATAAAAATAATCATTTAAAATTTTGATCTAACAAAATGGCCAAGAGATTGATAAAAATAATCATTTGATATAACAAAATTGTATATGACAACAAAATTGGCCATGGGATTGATAAAAATAATTTGATCTAACAAAATTGGCCATGATATTGATAAAAATAATCATTTGATATAACAAAATTGGCCATGAGATTGATAAAAATAATCATTTGATCTAACAAAATTGGCCATGAGATTGATAAAAATAATCATTTGATATAACAAAATTGGCAGAGAGATTGATAAAAATAATCATTTGATATAACAAAATTGGCCGAGAGATTGATAAAAATAATCATTTGATGTTACAAAATTGGCTGAGAGATTGATAAAAATAATCATTTGATATATAACAAAATTGGCCGAGAGATTGATAAAAATAATCATTTGATATAACAAAATTGGCCGAGAGATTGATAAAAATAATCATTTGATATAACAAAATTTGCCGAGAGATTGATAAAATAATCATTTGATATAACAAAATTGTCCGAGAGATTGATAAAAATAATCATTTGATATAACAAAATTGGCCGAGAGATTGATAAAAGTAATCATTTGATATAACAAAATTGTCCGAGAGATTGATAAAAATAATCATTTGATATCATTAAACAAAATTGTCTATCAGATTCTAATAAAACATAACAAAAATTGGCCATGAGGTTGAGATCTGTTACATTATTGTCACAATCATCACATGTTTAAGTCTTGCCCCAGGAGTTATCGTTATTTTTGTCATGAATTTTTAATAAGTTAAGGGAAAATTGTTATATACATTATACAGAGCAATCATTGCCTGGAACACTGATCTTTGTGACATCAAAGGAATGCTGTTAAGCATTTCAATGAATATATTTATATTTTTAATCTAGCTTATGTGCATGTATGCTGAAGTCTTAAGGTTTTAACAAGGAAAAAAACTTGAAACAAGAGTTTTTGTATGTTATGTTGCTTTAGTGTTTTAAAACTGCAAGCCAAAATATTACAAGAAAATCAATCTTGAGAAAATTATACTGAGCTTTTAAGAAAAGTAAAAAGATTCAAGATAAAAGTAATAATTTACATGTTATGTGTGATTAATGACCAATTTTGCAATATTTTTCTCTTTTGCCTTGATGCCCCAAGGATTGCAATATAACTAGGGATAGTTAGTTGTTGAAGGTGTATAAACGCAAGCTTTATCTTGGTGTCAACACTTCACCACATTTATATATTTTCATGTAAATCATACATGAAGCTGCAGAAAGATTGGCTTTCGTTAACTTGAAGGACAAATTAACTTAAATGTTGTTTAATTTTAACATATATGTTAGGTAATGAAGCCGGGGCATCCGTGGCCGAGTGGTTAAGGTCGTTGACTTCAAACCACTTGCCCCTCAACGCTGTTGGTTCGAATCCTGAAAGGGACTTTGAATTCTTTCATGTGAGGAAGCTATCCATACTTGCGGCCATTGTCTTATAAGCAATTGTTGATATTCCAGTCTGATAGTGAGAAGAAGCAGAACAAAGTCCGGAGATATCATACGCAGCAATATGTGAATGGTAGTAGATGTGAACTCAATGGGAAATTGAGGAGGACTGAAATAAGGGTAGGTGTTTGTTGGTTTTACATCACACTGATACAGTATAGGTCATAATAGTGACTTTGCACGAAAGAGCACCTGGTAGAACCACCACCGTTTTGTAAGCTAGCTGGATAAAAGGGTAGGTGTTTTATGACGTAAACTGAAGTCAGTTTGGCTAAAATAGAAGCAACATAAGTTAAAGAAGATGCTTTGAATTCAAATCAGTGTTACTGTAATTAGAATTATTATGTCATATGAATAAAAGTAAAAATGCAATGAATTATCACAAAATTGTTTAATTTCATTGTATATTTAATATTAACTGAACTGATAAAAGTATATTTGGAAAATGGTCATGTATGAAAAAGTACATGAGCAGGACTTTTATTTGCTATGAAATATTTTGTCCTCCATAAATGTTATACTGAATAAGTCATTACTTGATGTTAAAAGTTGTCACACTCACTTATATAGACTTTGACAACACAAAGACAAAGCAGGGCAAATTTTGTTTCTTATAAATTATAAACTAAGAACAAAAGACTCTTTGGACTCCTTATGTTTACCAGGAATGTTTTATTAGATTGTTTCAAGGTTTAAAAATGTTCTTGTGTTGACTTAAGTAAATTGTTCAGGTTTAAATTGAAAGAAGTTCAAATTTTACTTTGCTTCATGATCTCGTCCTTTCATATTGGTTTATATCATTTACTGTTAAAAAGAAGCAATTACCAAAATAAAATGTACAACAAATTTTTTACTATCAATATTCACAGTTTATGTGTGAGGAGGGTTCAGCAGACTATATTTCCCGACTAGATGAGCCGGAAACCTGCGTTTACATCATGACTATACATACAATGAGAATATGTCATCACCCGTTCCTGAAACCACCGACCCCTACACAGACTGTCACCATCACATGCAATCCTCTACTGACAGTGATCCAATACCAAGAATATCTGGATCAGTTAGAAGGTTAGACTTTTTATGTGAAAGATTTACCAACATTTGATACGCAAAAAAATACTTGAGTGTTAAAATTAAATTTTGCAACTGGCTTATCATTGATATTTGGCGTTTGAAAGGTCTGTTAAAATGTAATGCCACTTGGCTTATTTATCTCTTATTTACACTGTTACAATAGACAAAAAGAAAGCTTTTCACATTATGATCAACTAGACAAAGTTGCGACGCATGCACATGATTGGCCAAAAAGATAATGTGGCACTAGTCTCTCATATTAAGTCCTGGATTGTAACCCCAGTTTGGGCATATTTTTTGTGATGTTTCATTACACTTTTGTAATAGTAAATAATTTTTCATAAATTTAGAGGAAGAAAAGAATGCTAACATTAGCATAAGTCTAAGTTACCTTTTTATGGACCAGAAAGATTATCATTATTGAAAGATAACTTTGTATTTTTATTGGGTTGTTATCTTCCCTTTACATTGAATCAAAAATTTACATAATGAATACTCAGCATGTTTCACTGTGGTCATTTTTATTTCATTATTCTCTGAATTGTGTGATATTATGATTTTGTTTCAATATCTCATTCAAAAACAGAAAATATCTCAACCATAAGGTTAGCATTTTACTGCATTTATGATTAATAGAGGTAACTCTGAGGGGAGTCTTTGATGAGATGGGTTTTAATATTCCACAACCACAATGATAGTTTCACAAAATGTTCCATTCATGCATTAGTGAAAGTTTCCACAATTTTCTACGTGCTGGGTCTAATGTGATTCGTGGAATATTAATTTTAATCTTCTAATTGAACATTGTTAGTAGAGTTTAGGGGATTGAATACTGCTAGCATACACAATTAAATTCACCGTTGCCGTTAAATGTAGAAATGGCACAAGGATGGAAATGTGATATGAACTGGTTTATTGTCACATCTGCAAAATTTATTGAACAATGTACTAGTATAAAAGTTGTTCTTCTTTTTTATGAGAGTAAAGATTTATATGCTGATTTTATAAAATTCTTGTTATAAAATTTCACTAAAGATTTGTTAACACAGCCTGCTATATTGGCTCTTAAGTTAAAGATACAAGAATCTCTTTTTATGAACCAGTTGATAGATCATTGCCAAATTTAAAAAAAAAAAAAAATGTTTGATGATGTGAACACAAACTACCTTGACCCCTTTTTAGGGTCCACTGAAGCTAAAAATAGAAATTTCCTTGAACTTCATCCTGAATTAACACTAGCTTTTTTGTATATAAAAACTTAACCTGGTCTGAAGTTATTCACATAAACTGCCTGAGTAATGTGTTGAATCTATTGAAACTTAAACAGAAAGTAAAATTCACACAGCTTGAATAACATCACCCATGCTTATCTGATCCTCTTTCCAAATTGAATTTTATATAATGTATCTTGAAGTTAAAGTAAAATAGTTCATGTAAACAGTTTCTTCTGGAACTATTTATCATTGTAGAGGTTTGGGTTAATCAAGATCCCTACGTTATGGCTGGAAGGGGCATTCTGTTAAAACAAAAACATTTGAGCCGCGTCACGACAAAACCAATGTAATGTGTTTGCGACCAGCATGGATCCAGACCAGCCTGCGCATCCGCGCAGTCTGATCAGGATCCGTGCTGTTCCCTTACAAACTCTATAACAAGTAGAGAAACTGATAGCGAATAGCATGGATCCTGATCAGACTGCACGGATGTGCAGGCTGGTCTGGATCCATGCTGGTCGCAAACCCATTATGTTGGTTTTGTCATGACGCGGCTTATTTGGATTCTTAAAAAAGAACTACAAATAAATGTCTTGAAATCAGAGTAAAGCTAGTGATGGTTAGGAGCATGTGGTTCTATTTCAACAGTCTCAAACTGTCTCAACTTTGTTATATATATAGATGTTACCATGAAGTTATTTGAAAACTGATTATATTGTTTTAGCAAAAGAAGAAATGGAGAGATTAGAGGAAGAAAAGAGACAAAAAGCTGAAGAAGAAGAAAGAAGAATTAAAGAAGAGAAAGCCAAATATTTTAAAGAAAATAATCCAGAAATAGGTGAAAATAGTTTACAAGTTAAATAGTTTGTAATTTCATATGTTAAGCCATACCACATTAAATTGTCTTGTCCATTCATCATTTTTAGGGAAAAATTCAAAACAACTATTGACAGAATAGTAAATATTGCAGACCATGATCTGGCATGGTAAAGGTTTTATTTTTCATTCCTATTTATGTATTTCTCCTGTTTAACAGTCCTTATTTCTCCTGTTAAACAGTCCTTATTTCTCCTGTTAAACAGTCCCTATTTCTCCTGTTAAACAGTCCCTATTTCTCCTGTTAAACAGTCCCTATTTCTCCTGTTAAACAGTCCCTATTTCTCCTGTTAAACAGTCCCTATTTCTCCTGTTAAACAGTCCCTATTTCTCCTGTTAAACAGTCCCTATTTCTCCTGTTAAACAGTCCCTATTTCTCCTGTTAAACAGTCCCTATTTCTCCTGTTAAACAGTCCCTATGAAATTTATGTTGAATTCTGCTTAAGCTGGTACAATGGGGTGTTGATGGTAACTTGCACTTTCAGTACTAGCCATGTACAGGCTCAATAAACCAAACCTGCAACATTTTCAAGTTTACCGTTTTGAAAGCTCTTTAGGAATTTATTTTGCAATTTTATACATGACCTCTTACCATTGACCTTTCAGAGGAGGATGGTATAGTTGAGGTAGAGGATGAAGAACCAACTAGTCCAGCAGATCTTTCTACCGGGGACCAGGATAGCTTGTTTGGTAATGACTGGTCCAGTCTGCTTAAAGATGCTAAAGCAACAGGTATTGTACTCATCACTGAATATGCAGACAGTTTGGTTTATGATTCATCTCTTTCTCCATAACATATTCATTATCTCCATAAAAAACATTTTTGTTAATTTTTACTTATTATGGCCATGTATATTAAAAAATTAGGCTTTATTTGGCCATCACATACTTTGCGTTATTTATTTGACGTCACATTCAATGTATGTTATAATTTTTAAGAGGCTATCTAGAGAAACATGTCATTAAATTTTAATGTTGTAGTTACACATTGTTGTTGGGCTTTTAATTTTTGCTTTAAACCCTCATATTTATTGTGTACTTAACCATAATCTTTCCGTTTGTAATGTACTTGTCCTATTTTGAAATTAAAATTGGAAATTGTTGTATCAAGGGACATCAATGTCAAATAAGAAAATTAAGCAACAAACAGCTTAGAGACTGGTCTGTGCAGGATGCACTGGTTCGAGATTGCAAAGTCCTGCCAGTCACTGCTAGTGTTTGAAGAGAGTTTTAAGTATTTTTTCATTCACTTTAAAGTTAATTTAGCTTCCTCTTATGAAAGAATCCAAAGTCCCTGTCGGGATTTTAACCAACAGTGGTGATGGGCAATTGGTTTGAAGTCACGACCTTAACCATGTGGTCATGGACGGTCCAGATATTTTACTGATATTTCTTTACAAAATGTTAACATGTAATTTTTTTATGAAGTGCAACAAAGGATTACTTTATGAAATGTAGACCTCTGTAAACCTTTTGAAATTTAAATATGTATTTCTTCAACCTATAATATAATTAATAGACAATACAAAATACAAGTTCGTTCTTCATAACATACAGATATAATTTATTGAAATCCTTGATATTGAACCAAATTTGTTTAAGTAGTTTAATTTAGATTAGATATATTTATAATACTGCATGTTTGTAACATCACTTTTCATTGGATAATTGTGACTTTTGTATAGTTTTATGTACACAGCTGCTGTCAATTATGAAGAAATCTCACTTTTTTTTTCTAAAAAGGAAGTTAGCTGTATTATGAATTTGTTACAAATATTCCTGACAGGTTATATGACCATATATAAATGGTTGTTTGCAATATAAACTCTTTATAAAGGGCCATATAACACATCAAAAATCTTTATAACTAACAGTATAATGCCTTTATCTAATGAGCAGTCATATACCGGTATGAATAAGTATTGCTAGTAAAGTATCATTGTAGCTAACTAGAGTTATTTAACTACAGGTGATGGTAGTCCTGTTAAAATGAAGACAATGTACAAGGTAGTACAGTCACCTGAAGATCTTAAAGATTTCCTTAAAGACACAATTGCAGAGATGAAAAAGTTGAAGGATGAGAATAAAGTAGATAATCCTGGAGAATTAGAGGAGGAAGAAGATAAAGAGGAGGAAGGGGAAGATGGAGAGAAAAAGATGAAAATACCAAAGATACCTGAGAAAGGAAAACCACCAGTGTTTAAAGAGTTAGTAAACTGTACAAATTTAGTACACAGAACAAATTTAGAAATTCAATGGTTGTAATATTATTAGTTATGTTAAATTATGACAGTTTCATGTAAGATTCATTCATAATAACAAGAATATTTTATAAATAAACTATGTACATTGTGTATGTATGTTACCTATTTACTAACTTGAACTTAATGAATTTTTTTTTAAAAGTTCAATGGAAAATATTTGTGTTTCAAAATAGGTAAAGTGTATCACTTATAATCAAACAAAATTATTAAGATGGGCAGATAATATAAAGTTTTATGGCTACATTTATCTCAAAAGTTTATTTGTATCGATTTATTCAGGAATATACATAAACACATACAATATTGTGTCACATATATCAACATGCATATAAAAAACACACAAAAAATGCAACAAAAATAATTATCAAATTGATTAGAATGTTTTATGTTACCCTACTGTAGGATTTTTGCCCATAAAGCTAAAAGCTTATTTCCAATGGGGTATGTATTCTTGCTTTCATGACCTGTTTAAACTTTATTTTGGACATTTTTATGCATAGAATTGACCGCATTCATATTGTCTCTCTGTAATAAAAGTTGTGTTTTTACTGTTATTTATAGATTATATACAGTAGATGATGTAGATGAAGATCTAGAAGATGCAGAACTAGATGAGCTTGATACAGGTAAAGTTTTACACATTTTTGCTCATATATCCTAACCGCTTTTCTTAGATAACTAACCAGTTATTACCAATTTCTCTGCAAGTGGGATAAATAGTCAGTCACTTGCAGAGAAATAAGTAATTACTGGTAAGTTATCAGAAAAGCCGGTAAGGTTGAGTGACCACCTAGATATGATGGCAAGCATAATATTGTTTTACTCAACGAGTTCAATAAATTTAGTATTGAATCTACACGAATATAATATTCTATTTATCACATATTCAAAAAGAGAACGGTTTACAGTTTAAACAAGTAATTTTTCATTGACAGGCCTATAGTGTAACGCTAACATTAGCGCACTTTAACGCTATGTTTATATATAGCGTAAATGATGTCGGGTCAAAGTATTATTACACTAGTGTAATATTGTTTTTATTAATTGGCTTTATTACACTGCGCTTCTGTTTATGTGATAAATGAAATTATTAAAGTTCTTGTCTGTTGAATGGATCTTTTATTGGTACGATGAACAATTTTTTTTACCAAAATCTCCTCCAAATGAAACTACTGTTCAGATTTGAGAAGATTTCTGAGTGTGATTAATGAATGTGAGTCAAAGGTTTCCTGTTAAATTTTAGGCAAAGATTTCCTGTTAAATTTTAGGCAAGGTTTCCTATTAAATTTTAGGCAAGTTGTGACTAATGTTTTTCTGTGATAATGTGATTGAACCCAACATGTTTACTGCCATTTGTCAGCCTCTGCTGTTTCAAGTAATTTTTGTGTTTACGGACAAGTTTACAGTTAATTGGAGAAAAAAATAGTTTATTCTTTTACAGAATCAATGAACATTATACTGTTTGTTTACTTCACACAATTGTATGGCTGAAATACAGTTAAAACTGGCGCTAAATCTAATAATCTTATATTTGATCCTTGACAAATTGAAAATAAACTGAAATGAAATCTATCCAGTGCTGGCAACCTTTATCCTGATTTGTAAAATGTAATTTACTTAATTAAGTCAGTGAAATGATATGTACTGAAGTGTGATAGCTTTTCATTTATTATTCATTGTACATAATACTTTAATGTTAAAAGGCTTTTATAGTTATAATAATATTATTATTAAGATAGGAATGAATATTTGAGCCGCGTCACGACAAAACCAACATGATGGGTTTGTGACCAGCATGAATCCAGACCAGCCTGCGCATCCGCGCAGTCTGATCAGGATCCATGCTGTTCGCTATCAGTTTCTCTACTTGTTAAAGGGTTTGTAAGTGAACAGCATGGATCCTGATCAGACTGCGCGGATGCGCAGGCTGGTCTGGTTCCATGCTGGTCGCAAACATACTATGTTGGTTTTGTCATGACGCAGCTCTTTTCATGTTTCAGAAATTAAAACATTGAAGGAACGTTATAAAAACAGAAGGGACAAGCTCACTGGCATCAAAAATAAAGTAAAATCTTCTATGGAATCTCAGTATGAATCTATTATAAAAGAGGTATGAATATTTTGATTAACACTTAGCCAGTTGGGGGCGGGGGGCAACAGATTCTACCCATGTCACCAGTGCAGGCCGTCAGTAAATACAGAACTATCCTGACCATGAATGTAAACAATATAAAGTGCATTTTATTAATATTTGCTATCTAGTAGTTTTGAATTTATTTAAAATCTAATTCTTCATGTGAAAGATATACTATGCTCGTCCTTGAGTGAAATGTTTTAATCACAGGAATTTATTGAAATCTATGAAAATCTAACTGAATATGTCTAACTTGAATAAAATAATAAATAAACAATGTATGGGAAGCTGCATTCTCTATTACAGGTCAAGTAATGACACTATATATTCATATTGTGGCCACTGTGAGCATTGTATATCTTTAATTCATCTTATCATTATTTTGTTAGTATAAATGTACTTTTTTTATAAAGGCTAAAGAAGAGTTGGCAGCTGATGAAGGTTTAGAGAATGAGGAACAGATTAGAGAGAATAGACAGGCAATCAGACAACTTACCAAGACTATAGATCATCTTCTAAATAAACTTGATAAAACAGAACAAGGTAAGTTGATCATAGAAATTATACTCCACCACATAGTCAGTTTAAACATATTTATTTTAGCTCGATTGCAAAACAAGTTATATTAACTTATATTACTTATATTAATACGGAATAGCAGTATTATATTATACAACTTATATTAACCACTTTCGAGTCCGCTTCCTGGAACCAACCAATACTGGTGTCATATGAAGAGTTATGGTTGTGATCCTAGTAGGGCTTGAACCCATGATCCCTGGGTTGAGAGGCATACACCTTAACCACTAGGTCACCGCTCCCCTTAAACATAGTTGGGGACTATATAGGAGTCACTTTAACCTATCCATCATAGCCTGTCACCTAGTTTCCAGATTTGATTTTCTTTGATAACATTTGAACCATAGAAAATATTATATTAGATGTTAATTTCACACTTGAAATGTATATGAAGGGTATTTAAAATCATTAGATACCTAGTGAATTTGGTTCTGCATTTAAAGAATTACATTGTGTATACACCCTTTCTGACAAGAGCGTGTAAGTGCCATCAAGTCCCTCTTGTTTTATATTGTTATATTTTATTACCTTTTGTTGTAAAGTCATGAATTATGTTTCAGTGTAAACTATAAATCATGCATTAAATTCACAGTTTTTATTAAAATGAAAATAAAAGGTACTCATTTTTCAGTGACACTTTCCAATATTTAGATCATATTTTCATGAATCACTGAATATCAAATTGTGGCAGAGCCCAGTTTCCTCATTTTAATGGCATGTGATATTATTGGAATTGCTAAAAAAAGTTAATTGTTATATGTCATAAAATTGTTTGCTGGCATTTATGAAATTGAGTTCTGTTACCAGTCTTTTGGGTCATTATGTATTAAAATTTTGTATCAAATTTCATAGGTTGATGATTTTGTGTTAATGATATTCAAAATAGTTTTGTACAAAATGAGACAGAGAGTTGATTGAAATATAAATTAATCAATTTAATGTGAAAAGGCTTGATGGATTTTTATTTTAAGTCATAAAAAGAACTGATGTCCTGACTTAATGTCATATCATTTATATAGATAGTCCTGGAAAGGTGTTTTCATTTTTGTCATATCCTCTGTTCAGAAAAGAAGTACTGTACATCTTATTGTATATTTATTTTTTTTCCTGAGATTAGTAATTTTATTATTTTCATAACTTTAACATTTCTGTGTTGACAATTGTATATGATATGCAAATATCTCACATGTTGCATGTTATGTATAAATAAAATCAGTGAAGATTTTTATGCCGCCGGGCATATAGTAATGGAATCATCTGTCCGTCTGTCCATCTGTTCGTCCATCAATATGAGGTTAACTTAAAACTGAAAGTTGGATTTTTCTTAAGTTTTACCTGTACCAATGCCTAAATGATTTATACATTTACTAATCAATTCAAAGTACAGTATCTGGGCAAGTTACATAACTATGGTTTCCTTTTTAAAAATAACAGCATTTATATATGATTTAAACTCTACTCTTACTGATCAATGGGCTGTGGATTGGATGCCCCAACATAAGACATCTCATTTAGTCTGTAGTTGTCCCATTATGTCCCGGCTTTAATAATCAGCCAAAAGTCATTTATTGTTATGAAACAATTTTGTTCAAGCTCCTCTCAATTAAGTTTGTGTTACAGTAAATAGCTGATTCTATTTACATGAACCTGTTGAAAGTTTTAGTAACCTATAGAGTGTAAATGCCTTATCTCTATCTCTCAGGGCCAGTCTGCATTTAATAAGTGCAATGTTACAGGGTCTTCTTGATGGTTGTTTTTTATTATTTTATATTGAAATATTTCATACAGTAATGGACATTGACAGAGATTATGCATTCATAGATAAAATCATGCACCCATGCACTATTGTGTCACGTAGTTAATAAGCATGACTGGGGGTGCCATGTTAAAAATGCTTACTGCAAAACATAACTATCAAATGATATTGCCTTTGTATGCGAAAAGCATATGACAACACTGACCTCTTTGTATGAATAACAGATAGGGAAACAGTACTAAACACAGATTTCCATCAGACAAAAAATTGTAATATGAAGAATATCACATATAATTTTTTTAGGGGCATTTATATCTGACCCTAGTAGCCCCCAGACTTATTAAATCTTTTCTTGTGCCTCTGCAGATGTTTATGCATGAAAAAAGTATAGTATTCCTCTAGTCTGAACACTTGATTAATTCACTTAGTAAAAGGGTCACACCATCATAATGGTAGATTTCCTAATCACATTATTACTATTACGTTATCCTATCTTTTGTTTAGAGATAAAGTCAGTTGATAAAGAATTGGAACAGATAGCGGAGTATGACAGTAATGAGAAAGATGTAAAGTCTATACCACCAGTAAAAGACTCAGATACTCTCACAGGTGATTCAGCAGCACAAGGTATGTTCTTTCGTTATTTCAAGACTGCAAGACTGTTGTAATTTTAGGTACTGCAATTTTGCAGTCCACCCTCCATTCTATTGGAAGAAAAGGGAGAGCTAATATTCTCATGCAGCGTCAGTTCAGCTTTGGTGTCACTTTTTAATTAAGATTTTGCAAGCAAGTTGATATTTCTAAAAATACAAAAGAGAATTGGTTGAAACTTCACACACTTATAAGAGGGCAAATTAGAATGTCACTTTCCAAAGCCCATAACATTAATTTTGACAAAATTATGGCCCTTTTTGTACTAAGAAATTTCTATTTTATTCGGGCACTTGCCTTACTATTAAGCACCAACAATAGGCTAGGGTCTGTCCTACCAACAGCTACTCTACGATATGTAGGCATGTATACACATACAAGTATTATGTCAATTGATGTTGAAACCATGATAATTTGTTAATTTGCCCTGATGATATGTAGAAATTAGTCAACAGTATATTAGAATGAGAAATATCAGTTCGTGTCAGTTATTTATACATATTGGTTGAATGAGGGTAAAAGATTTAGTTATAGACATTAATTCTTTAAACTTTAGCTTTGTTTGTACATGTAAAAATTTGCCCTGGTTATGGTATGTAGGGGAAAGGATTGAATTGATAGTTGTACCTTGGTTTTTCATGTTTATTTAAATCACAGGTACAGCACATGTATTTCTGTAAGGATGTTTTTGGAAACAAGTTGTCATATTTCAGTTGTTTAAATAAACCATTTTAAGAAGTTGGCTTTTATTTATTAATAATGAAAAAACACCACCAGTTAAGAACTATTCATAAACTCTTTGATATGCCTGAAGCAAACAAATAATTTTTTATTATTATTAAAATGTCATTGAGATGGACAAAGATTTTTCCTTTACTAATTAGGTCGATTTGAACAGCTTACCAACTCAGGGGAGACTAACCATAATGACACATGAAGTTAATTGTGTAGAGTTGTTCCCCTTCAGTTAGAACCAATGTTTTTGACAATCAAATAATGAAAATATATAAATCTATTTTTTTCTGCTTAAGTCTCATACAATATTCCAATTTTCTTTTAAATGCTTGAAAGTGTTAAAAATGCGTTGCTTCATTGATTGGCTAAAACATGTTACAAACTCAAAAGATTTATAAAGGTGGGCAGACATAGCTATAGATCTTGTGGAATATGTTTCTCTAAATGATTACGATAGGACTGACCTTATTTGATGACCTTACCATTTCATTTGTAATATTGAGGTCAAATGTCAAGGTCACATTGATGACCTTACCATTAATTTGTAATATTGAGGTCAAATGTCAAGGTCACATTGATGCTCTGTACTGGAGTAAACTTATTTTCTGTTAACAATTAAATAAGATTCTGTATGATGTAGAACGGCAGATGTATTAAATATTTGTATAAAGTTAGTGGCAAGGTGGCAGAGTGCTTAATTTAGCTTCAAACTATGGATTGCTGGCTGCATGTGCACAAACCACGATAGGGGTAAACAGTTATTCTTGAACAAAATTCTTCACACTCATTGCTTAGTACTAGTTGGTTCAAGGAATAGATTTGAGAGTGTGTCTATAGCTTCTTATACAATCAAACTAAAAAAACTTAAGTTTGACAGTTGGTATCTGGAACTGTATTTTGTGAGAATGCATCATATGATTTTCTGTTCATTTGGAAAAGGTTTACAAATGAGTAGGAATTTGATTGTGTCTGGACTCTAATCTTACTTTGACAAAAAAGTATGAAGTAAGAAAATATAAAATTTTTATCATGATGACACTTCGATATTTGGACTCAGAAAAACTTCTAGTAGCTTTTGCATTGAGGCAGTTTTGTTTGCACGTCAAAGTTTTATACATGATAATCATTATCTTCCTTTATATACAATATAATAATGTAGACAAAATATGCACAGCAGTCTGTATGTAAATTACATTATTTTCTCTACAGAATAATAACTAGACATTTTAATAACGATGATACGCTTTTCGTCCCATCAGAACACCTGTCATTTGTGTCTATTTGAGGTGTTATTGCACAACTGCTGTAAACTGTAATTCCGGATCATTTGAGTTACGCCAGTTTAGGTTTGAATCTCTTGTTAATGCCACCTGGCGTACAATACAGCATGACAGTGTGGCACATTGTAACAACTATTCCTGTCAGATATATGTTAATGTTGTAACAACAGATATTACAATATTTTGACTTTTAATGTCAAGAATGCAGTTCTGGAAAATGTTTGTAGAGTAAAGGGAAAAAACTGGTGTTTAGATAACATTCATAAATTTCGTACAAATATTTTATCTGAAATGCAATAAAAGAACAAAAAAAGTAGCGAATGTATAAACCAAGTAAAAAAAACAAAACACAACACAATTCAATCGTGTTGTTGATGTTAAATATGATACCTGAATATATTATAATATGTTTGGAAACTTCAATATTTGTTGAAAATTAGTTTTTCTAATTCACTTCATATGTTACTGATTATATATTATTGTTGTTGAGTATATGAGATTTTATGTTTTGTTTCTATTTGAATCGTTTTATGGTAGGAACACCTATTTTACTATCAAATAAAACAGTTTGATGTGCAGTTATGAAACTTATATAAGATAAGTGCATCTAGTTAGCAGATCATTATTTCTTCAAGGGTCAGCTGCATACTTTATTGACTAGGATCAGGTAAATGACCCATGTAATTTTACAAATCCTTCAGCTAAAGGTCAAGGTCAGAATCACATGAAGGCTATAATTAGCTTTCTGCTGAACAAGTACAGAAAACTTTGATTGTAAATAGCCAAATGTCATAGTAATAATGTTTGTGGTCTGCAGAAAACTTGAAATGGTCTAGGGGTCATTAAAGAAAGGAGAAGGTCACTGTGGCTCTAAAGATAATTTTCCACTTATCTACTTTTAGCTTTGGCTTCATTTGAGCTATCAAAGTCCTCTAATGATCAATAATTTAGGCTTTACATTTGTGAAAAGTTTAATTAACATTATAACTTACCCTTTTTTTGCAGGTAAGTATTAGGGACAGAATCATGTGGTTATAAGCTTTGTTGTAAGAGGATTACATTAGTACAATTTATTCTGGTTAGTTCAATTATCAGACTCCAAAGTTATAACTACATGGAAAAACTTTTAATGCTCCCGAAAAAAAAAATCCTGGGTGCATAATATTAGTCACCCTTTCATCTTCTGTACTTCTGTGTCATATAGTCTATTATTATTGACTGATGTGATTCATATTTAGTAGGTAGATACCTTTTATGGTTCTCTAACTTCAGATTAAGTAAGGAGTCGCTAGGGTCATGGTCAATGTCACTAGCACTTAAAATAAATGTATACACTTTTGCTCATACAGTCTGTACATATTGACTGATGTTCATTAAATTACACAGACAAATGTGCAGGTTCAAGAAGCACCCATTTCTTTAGCAATATCATAATCTTGTTAGTCCCCTACCGGTTTAACCGGAGGGGACTTTAGGTTTACCCTCCGTCCGTCTGTCCGTCTGTCTGTCTGTCCGTCTGTCCGTCTGTCTGTCTGTCTGTCAGTCCGTCAGTCCGTCCGTCCACCAAACTGGATCCAGCGATAACGCAAAAAGGACTGAAAATATTTTTATGAAACTTGACATATGTATAAATGGCAGTATGAGATTATGCGTGTCTTTTTCTTTTCTTCCTATGTTGAAAAATTTGGTTGCTATGGCAATAAATAGATAAATATGGCAAATTTAACACATAAACTGGATCCAGTGATAACTCAAAAAGTACTGAAAATATTTTTATGAAACTTGAAATATGGGTAGATGGCAGTCCGGAGATTATGCACATCTTTTTCTTTTCTTCCTATGTTGAAAATTCTGGTTGCTATGGCAACAAATAGCCTGAATTTCAAGATTTCTGATTTAAATTTTTCAGCTTTTTCACTATATGTTCTTTATTTCTTAAGGTGTTTACTTCAAACTTTAAATATAAGTTTCTGGTCATCAACCACATCATATGTGACAAGGTTTATAACTCTAGCACAAAAAATATCAGTATTACCTCCCTTGAACTTAGTTTTTTAGGGGAAAAAAATGTTGTCTTTTTTAAATAACTTCTTTATTTCCTAATGTATCTACTTCCAACTTCATATATATGTTTCTTATTATCACTCGACATTTTTGAGAAGGTTAAATACTCTAGCAAGACTATTTCCAGAATTATGTCCCCCTTGAACTTAGATTTTTTTCGAGAAACTGGTATTTTCACTCCAACTTCTTCATTCCTTATAGGATTTACTTTAAAATCCCACATCGTAATAATATGACAAGGTTGTATAACATAATTTCCTTACTAAGCATGGAAACTTAACACATTACTGTGATATAGACAAACTTATTTTATTATGTTTTGTGGTTGATATTTTCAAATACAGACTTCATCCTCAAATTCATTATAAATGGCAATACACAGGAGTGTATGACAATTAAAGAACTTTTTGAGGGACCGGTAGGGGACTACTGTATTGCCCGCAATACTATCAAATGCTTGTTTCTCATAACAGTTATCTTAATTACTTAATTAGATAATTTTAAGAATAAATATTTGTTTGTTAACAACAGCACTTGTTTTCCCAACTGTCAAAATGGCAATCATTGAAGAACATTTTGTGGGATACTTGGGGGTTTAACATAATGTGTTTTTACTGAAATTAATCTCCAATACTTATTGTTCTCAAGGATTTGATTTTGTGGATCAGTGCAAGTTTGAGAGCCATAAGCCATAATGATTTTGACAGTATGTAATTGCTTGCATGATTTTAATTAAAATGAGAACTTGTTAATAAGACCACCCCTGTAGTAATTATCTTGACGTACTGACATACTAGTAAACATATAGGCTCGCCTTGCAGGATGGGGGAATTTTTATAATAAGTAATATTCATTAAATAAATTACATGGTTTAAAAATCAACAAAATCTAATGCCC